TGGCTAACCATTACCCCGGAACACGATCAGCAAATCAATTAACATCCAGGTTCCCAATTACTGCTGGGTAGACAGAGGCAAATGGCGTAAAGAAACTTGCCCATAGTTTCACCCTCCCCGGGGATCGAATTCGGGTCCGTTCGTTTGGGAGGCGAGCATGCTGACCACAGGTATACATACAATAACACATATACAACATAGATAAACATACAATAACCCACATGGATATACATACACAATAATAAACAGAGAATACACATTAACACGCGCGCTCAAACGTCAACAAACATTTAATTCTGCTGCAGCGTGACTGATTCCCGGAGATAGAGAACAACAACACGGCCTTTCATATCAACCTCGCCTCTATGTTCACAAAGATTTCCTCAACTGATACACTACAAGTATTCGCTGACGGTATACAATCGTGAAATAGTCCATGTTTACATAATACACTCCATATGAGGTTGGCTCTCTTCTTATTGGTAGGGTGGATTTGGCGCGCTTTCTAATACTCGCTGGTGACTGGCGGTGGAACGTGCGCGCCATGTTATGTGTTATTGTTTTGCAAGCTTGGTAGCCTCGCTTTGCCCTCTTATTTGTGTTTATAGCACGAATGAAACCGTATCGGCCATGGAATACCAACTCACCTCAATAAACCGATAATAGAAAGGAATAAACGAGTAATTAACGATAATAACCAGGACAAAGAGAGGGAAGATAAAAGATAGAGATGGTTGATAATAATTCTTACAGGTTAATTAATGTCAAACTAACACGACAAACTACAAATTTTTAAACCGTGTCTCAAGAATGGTTGATAACACCTCCTGGACGATAGTGTAAGTGTCGTCCTCAATGGGATAAACCAGCGTCCTCAAAGGGTTAAACCAGCGTCCTCAAAGGGTTAAACCAGCGTCCTCAAAGGGTCACACCATCGTCCTCAAAGGGTTAAACCAGCTTCCTCAAAGGGTTAAACCATCGTTCTCAGAGGGTTAAAACAACGTCCTCAAAGGGTTAAACATTCCTAAGGGAAATCTATCTTCATCAAGGAGTTATGTTGATTGTCGAGATTCGAGGCGCCCACAGTCCACCCAGCTGTGAATGGGCACCTGACTTGACAATTGAGGAAGTGAAGGTGGTCTAGTACAATATCGACCTTAATGTCACCGTGTGTAATGGTGTAAACTGCACAATTTAACCCTTTTTTCATATAGTTAATTCAGGTAAGATTCAGGTAGGATTAAGGAGGTAAGGTTAGGGTTGGATCAGGTTAGGTTAAGTTAGGTTAGGGTTGGATTAGGTTAGGCTAGGCTAGGGTTGGGCTAGGGTTGGATTAGGTTAGGATCAGGTTAGGTTAATTCTGGATAAGTTAGATTAATTTTGGACCAAGATAAGTTAAGTTAGGTTAAATGAACGAACATTAACAACCCAAATTAACCAAAACAAACAACCATTGTGGTAAATTAAACCCACTGTCTCCGGGAACTAACTGGCAACCTCTTGTGGTCAACTTCCACCTTCTCAAATTGCACACGTTGCAAGTGTCGTGAGGTATTGCATATATTGACGTGGCAACAAGCGTGAAACCTGCTGAAACACCCCCAGTAAGTTCCAAGAATCGTTCACTTGTTCCAGCAGTTTCTTGTTCCGAGGTTCGTTCACGTGTTCCAGCAGTTTCTTGTTCCGAGGTTCGTTCACTTGTTCCAGCAGTTTCTTGGTCCGAAGTTCGTTCACTTGTTCCAGCAGTTTCTTGTTCCGAGGTTCATTCACTTGTTCCAGCAGTTTCTTGTTCTAAGGTTCGTTCTTTGTTCCAGCAGTTTCTTGTTCTAAGGTTCGTTCTTTGTTCCAGCAGTTTCTTGTTCTAAGGTTCGTTCTTTGTTCCAGCAGTTTCTTGTTCTAAGGTCTGTTCCTTTGTTCCAGCAGCTTTTTGTTCCGAGTGTCTGTCTACTCATATTCCATAGTTTCCCTTGTCTTAAGGTCTGTCTTTGTTCCAGCAGTTTCTTGTTCCGAGGTTCGTTCACCTGTTCCAGCAGTTTCTTGTTCTAAGGTTCGTTCTTGTCCCCAGTTCTGTTCTAAGGTTCGTCTTTGTTCCAGCAGTTTCTTGTTCTAAGGTTCGTTCTTTGTTCCAGCAGTTTCTTGTTCTAAGGTTCGTTCTTTGTTCCAGCAGTTTCTTGTTCTAAGGTTCGTTCTTTGTTCCAGCAGTTTCTTGTTCTAAGGTTCGTTCACTTGTTCCAGCAGTTTCTTGGTCCGAAGTTCGTTCACTTGTTCCAGCAGTTTCTTGTTCCGAGGTTCATTCACTTGTTCCAGCAGTTTCTTGTTCTAAGGTTCGTTCTTTGTTCCAGCAGTTTCTTGTTCTAAGGTTCGTTTTTTTTCTGAGGTTCGTTCACTTGTTCCAGCAGTTCAGAGTAATTGTATGTTGAGTGACTTAGGCAGGTGTAGGAAAATGTAAATGTAAATAACTGTGGTAACCTAACCTAACCTAACCTAACCTAACCCTAACTTCAAATCATCATCATTATTATTATTATTATTATTATTATTATTATTATTATTATTATTATTATTATTTGTCATTGTACAGGTATAAGACTGACCTCCGTTGTGACGTCAAGTGATAGACTTTCCCTATTGGCTAACGTATTGTGTTATAGGCCCAAGGGAGGGTGGGGAGGAGGAGGGAAGTGAGGGAGGAAGGAGGAAAGTGAGAGAAAGAGGGGAGGAGAAGGAATGTGAAGGAAGAGAGGTAAGCTGTGGAGGGAGGGAAGGAGGAATGGGGTAGGGGAGGGAACAGAGGAGAGGGAATGGAGTGAGGAGGAGCCGAGGAAGTGAGGAGGGAAGGTTAAGGGGGGGAGAGGAAGAGTTAGTGGGGAGGAAGGAAGGAAGGAAGGAAGGAGGGAAGGAAGGAAAGAAGAAAGGAAGGAAGGAGGGACGGAGGGAGGGAGGGAGGGAGGGAGGTTAATGAAGCCAGAGGAAGGGTCAGTGGGAGGGAAGAGTAATGAGATGGAGGGAGGATGGGAGGGTAAGCGAGGGGGGAGAGAAAGCGGAGGGAGGAAGGGAGGGTAAACTAGGTCAACTGGGGGACAAAAGTTCACCATAACGGGGTTCATAACATGTCCCAGACGCGTGTGGACAGATTGGGAGGGAGGGAGGGAGGGAGGGAGGTTAATGAAGCCAGAGGAAGGGTCAGTGGGAGGGAAGAGTAATGAGATGGAGGGAGGATGGGAGGGTAAGCGAGGGGGGAGAGAAAGCGGAGGGAGGAAGGGAGGGTAAACTAGGTCAACTGGGGGACAAAAGTTCACCATAACGGGGTTCATAACATGTCCCAGACGCGTGTGGACAGATTGGGACAGATGATGACGTCACGCAGGACAACAAGGTGACTAATGGGCGAACACCGCTAAATGTAGCACCACAAGACCCTGTATATACCCGTCTATTGATTATGCGGTGTATACTGACCTAAAGGTGTTTTATCTATCAGTCTGTCGTATATACCTGCTGTTATCTATCAGTCTATCGTATATACCTGCTGTTATCTATCAGTCTATCGTATATACCTGCTGTTATCTCTCAGTCTATCGAATATACTGCTGTTATCTATCAGTCTATCGTATATACCTGCTGTTATCTATCAGTCTATCGAAGCAGTATGTATGTACAGACTGTATGTATGAGTGTAAGCACGTGTTAGTTTATGTGAGTGTGTTTATATGTATGTGTATACATACTCGTATAACTGTAAGTGCGTATATAAGTATATGTATGCGCATGTATGAGCAAATGTGTACGCACGGCGGTCTGTATCATTATGTATATGTATATAAATATTTACGCAATAAGTAATTACGGCACTACTTTATGTATGCTCTATGTATGTTATATCAATGAATCAAATATTTATGTATATTTATCATAATTCGTATTTTATTAATCTATACATACTGTTTGCATACATATCAAAATCTTTGTAGTTCCATTTATTAATAATTACTATTACTACTATTACTACTACAGCTACTACTACCAACTTTAGTATTGTAATTACTTAACATTAACACCAATAAACTTCAATAAAAGATTCCATTTTCCATATACTACAGTAAATATTCTAAAACATCGCAAATTTTACCCTATCAGGTTATATATACACCAGATACTGAATTCTCGAGAAAAACTCATTATCATCATCATTATTATTATCATCATCACGGTTATTATCATCATTACTTTTACTATTATTATTGTTACACAGTGAACCAAGATGGCAACAGTGACAGGTGTACGTGACTTGCAGCATCACATATAAATAGTAACATGTTAGTTACTCAGTAGGAGGACAGTTATTGAAAATAATAGACGCGTATACTTCCATATTGATAATAGTAATCATTATCCTCGTTAAAGAATGATTAAGGCTCTGAGAATGATATAGCCAGTGAGTATCATCAATAAGTCAGTAAATACAAGCAAATTTAATTATATTTGTGAAGGTACGTCCTTGATGTAGCGGCCGCTAGATGGCAGCACGAGGAAAGCAGTGCCGCCAAACTTATGATATGGGGTCACAGAGTACACCCACTCAGCAGTCGTAAACACACTATTAAATAAGCCTTACTTACTCATCATAATACTATATGCATAATATTAGGTGATAGAAATTGTTATGGTAAATGAATAAGCGAGACTGAATTACAAAATCGTTGGGTAGATGGATTAAGTGTAATCTAATGTGAACGAAGCCTATGAAGATTTATTTACGTACGAACAACAACTTGGAATAAAGTATATAGTTATAAGTTTATCCATTGGCTTATTCATGGGTTCATTCAGTACTTTATTCATTAGTTTCTTCAGTAGTTTGCTCAGTGATTTATTTAGTTTATTCATTATTTGTATATATTATTTTCATTAGTTTGGTCACCATTTATTTTACAGAAGCAAGCAGAGTAGCAAAAGCTGCTCAAAAGCACTGTACTTGGCATCCACGACCACCACTAGACTTGTGCCTTTACAACCCTGTCGTTCTGGGGGGGTTGAGTGAGTACAGTATCTCTTATCATCACTTGCTTCTTCCCGTTTTACCGTCCACTACACAACATTATTACACCATCACCACTATTAACACCATCTTCACCATGTCTTATAAACTCGGGGTCGTCGCTGGTAGGATGTGTGTCGCAGCATCACGCCAAACGGCAAACGTAAGTATAAATTATTGCCGTGTTTTCCCGATCTGGAGACGGTGCCTTACTTTAATCGTATCATTAACTAACCTTTGCTCTTAATTACGGATATAATTACTTATATACATCAATATCAGTCATTATTTTAGTTATTAGTGAATAGGAGAGTATATTTAAGCAGTTATTAAGACTGGAGTGTATTTTGAGTTTAGTGATCAGTAATGGCGGTTGTCAGCTAAACAGAGCAATATGATATATGACGAAGCCGCCTAACTTCCCCAGTCACAAGAATCGTACAAATATTCCTCGTAAGTGAAAACATTGAAAATCCACATAATTATTTAACTTTGATCTAAAACTCGAAAAATATCCGAAAATTAACATTAAATCTGGTGAAAATACTGAACTAAATTTAACTAAGAATAAATTCACCAGCATGGATATAATATTAACGTAACCTATAAAGTCTGTATGTTTATTTTTTATTTTAGTTCAAGTTAAAATTAATTAAATCATATCTTAGTTTACGAGGAAAATTTATACAGCGGACCATTAGAGAAATAGTTATCCTAATGACTTGTGTGTACCGCTCGAAGCAAACGAATACTATAATATTTACGGTACGAAATTTCTGCTGTAGATGCACCCTGGCTGTTACCATCACTACTAAACACACTTATCTCAACACATTGCTGGAAAATGCCATGTCATATCCCCTGCTGCGTGTTGTAAAAAATAACTTCCGTTAGTTACGTTTGTCCTAGTAAAATAGCCAATGTTTAAATATTATAATTACCTGTGTTATGTGCTTTGGTATATGGTATTTTTCTGTTATTTAATCTCGCCAGTGATAATAATAATAATAATAATAATAATTAATAATAATAATAATAATAATAATAATAATAATAATAATAATAATAATAATAATAATAATATCAATGGACAAATAGGTAGGAAAATGCCACCATTATCAATTTTGTATATATATTTCAGTTTTTATAATCAGAAAAAAATAAATTAAAATATTACCCAACAATTTTACATATTACTTGTAAGTGCATATTTTTTTTCTCGAAATTCCGACATACTACAGTAAAAAATATATATATATTGATCGGCAACTCAGCGTGCCATGTAAATACTGACACAGCTGATCCAGGCATAGTTTTCCCGCGCAAATGAATTTAATACACTCAAAACAAACACCATTTCGTCATCACATTAATTAAATATATTCTAATATTTGTATTTATTTCCCGTGTAGATGTAATAATATATACGAAAATATATACGGTAACGCAGCAACAGTATAATAACGATTTATTTTAAAGATAAGTAATATTATTGCTTTGTTTTAGTAAAGACAACTGTCTTTACTGTTATTTTCTTGTTAGTGGTTTATTTATTCATTAGTTAGTTATTTAGCATATTATTTCTTCTCCTTTATCATATTTCGTTACTGATATATTTTCTCTTAGCGTTTATTTCCCATATTATTCTATAATCGTTACATCCGTCTAAGCCTCTAAGGCATCATATTATAGCACTGTCTTCCACTATAATCCACCATATTATAGTACTGTCTTCCCCCCAACAGGCACTGAGACTAGGAGTGCCAGCAGCAAGACTCAGCGGTAAGGCACCCAGCCAGGGGTATGCTGAGGTGCCCAAATATTTACAGCAGAAAATGAAGCTGTTCCAGGTACTGTGTGTGTGTGTATGTGTGACAGAGATGTATACCTGCATTGTCTATATACATGCTGAACTGTATACCTGCAATATCTATATACCTGCTGAACTGTATACCTGCATCGTCTGTTTACATGCTGAACGAAATGTAAACTTGTGTTGCAATTTTACTGAATGAATATCTATCTATCTCTCCCCCAGCTCCCTAATGGCCTGCCAGTGCACGTTAAAGGAGGAACAATTGACAAGGCTCTATACATCTTCACTGCAATAGTGTGTTTTGTAGGATTCTTTGAGAGCCTGCGTGTGTATTACGTGTTGTCCTATCCTTCCCCCAAGACCGAGTAGAAGGATTCCTAAGGAGGGGTTGGGTAGGAGAGGGGCGATCCTACTCTTTTATACGCCATTGGTATCATTATAAAGGTGTTTTATTTCAGCTTTATGGTTATTATGGACTATAATCCCGTCATGTCAAATGTTATTGTTTTTTTTGGGTCATATAAGAGTCAATATAGTTGCTTCTCTCGCCACCAGGGTAATTATGGAAGGAGTTTATGTCACAGCGCCATAATAGAGGTGTTTATATGTTAAGGGTAATAATGGAACTTTGAACCCCTCATATGACCCCTTAACATCCCTGAACCCCTGATATGACCCCTTAACATCCCTGAACCCCTGATATAACCCCTTAACATCCCTGAACCCCTGATATAACCCCTAAACATCCCTGAACCCCTGATATAACCCCTTAACATCCCTGAACCCCTGATATAACCCCTTAACATCCCTGAACCCCTGATATAACCCCTTAACATCCCTGAACCCCTGATTAACATCCCTGAACCCCTTAACATCCCTGAACCCCTGATATAACCCCTAACATCCCTGAACCCCTGATATAACCCCTAAACATCCCTGAACCCCTGATATAACCCCTTAACATCCCTGAACCCCTGATATAACCCCTTAACATCCCTGAACCCCTGATATAACCCCTTAACATCCCTGAACCCCTGATATAACCCCTTAACATCCCTGAACCCCTCATATGACCCCCCAGAACAATGGCAAAACAACAGATACTTGAAGAGATAAAACTTCCAATAGTTATTTCTATGAGATAATTTAGTTGAATAAATAAGTAATATATATAAAAACTAATTCATTGTACATACGAATCATTCTATTGTAATTTAAGTTCAATGCATCGTTTGTCTTCAACTAATTATGTCTTAATGGGCCCCAACTTGTCCTAATGGGCCCCAAGCTGACTAAAACATCGAAATTTGGTGCCCAGTCTTAATGAACCTAGACTAGGATTGGGGCCTATTTAACCTACAAGAAATAGGTCCCAACGTATGTATACCTATTTAATGCAGTACGATAGTTTGGGTGAGCTACCCTGGCAACAACTGTCAACAACACGGGGCTGCCAGACGATGTAATGTACTTAAAAATGGTTATCAATTTGTAACAATAAAAAATAATGGTTGAGAATTTTGTTTTATATTCCAATTGGTATTCTATACATACATACAGCAATTATGTATACAAAAATACAAGTTATACATTACACATCCTGGAATTCTATTTAGTATATACAACAAATTTTAATCAGTCCCGAATAATATTTTAAAATGTTTACGCACACATACACAAATACGCACACAGTCATACATACACCTTTTCAATAGACGGTTACTTATTATTTTTTTATTACTATACAGCTATTATTATTAGTAGTGTTGTTATTATTTGTTATTAATATTATTATTGTTATTATTTATTACTATTTTTATTATTATTTTTTGTTATTATTTATTAATATTTTTATTACGTATTTGTTATTAATATTTAATTATTATTATTATTATGAACACAACATAAATCAAACAACTCCACTTCACACTTACCCTTCCCCCTCTAACCCCCACCCCCTTCCCCCACCTCACCCATCACCCCCCCATCACTCTCCTGACAGACAAGCACTAAACAGAAAGCAATTATATATAGATTTCACAGTAGCGAGAGACTCATCGTACCCAAGCACAAGGTCACGCGCTTCGGGGACGGATGGCTGTGAACGATATGGGGAGAGAAAGGGGGAGGGGGAGAAAGGGGAGGGAGAGAGAGAAAAGGGGAGGGAGAAAAATGGGTAGGGAGGGAGGGAGAAGGAGGGAGGAAATAGAGGGTGGGGGTGTAATAAATTAGGGTCAAGTACCTTTTAATTAATTTGGCACAACTGGGTAATAATAATAATAAAATACAATACAATAATAATGATAAAGGTTGGTGATTTTTTGTAATGTGGAGAGAGAGAAATGACGGTGAATGTAGTGACAAATGCTAATATGAGAAAGAGGGAGATTGGTGATAAAGGGGAGGGAAGGGAAGATGAAGGGTGGGGGGAGGAGATGAAGGGTGGGAGGGAGGGGAGAGAATGAAGGGTGGGGGGAGGGAGGAGATGGGGAGGAGGAGATGAAGGGTGGGGGAGGGAAGATGAGGGGAGAAGGGGAGGGGAACGAACAATGGAGAGGGGAGAGAATGAAGGGAGAGGGGAAGGTGAGATAATGAAGGGTGAGGGGGAGGGGAAAGAGCGAGGGGAGAGGGGGAGGGGAGATAATGGAGGGGAGAGGGAAAAATGATGATAATTGTAAAACAAGATTAGAATATTAGGTCAAACTAATGGGAAGTGGTGATAATGGGTGGTGGTGATAATGGGTGGTGGTGATAATGGGTGGTGGTGATAATGGTTGGTGGTGATAATGGTTGGTGGTGATAATGGGTGGTGGTCATAATGGGTGATTGGGGTGACAGTAGGATGGTGGTGATAATGCGTGATAGGGTGACAATGGGTGGTGATGGTGAGTGGTGGTGACGGTGGATAGCGGAAGTAGTGATAGCAGTAAGCGCTTTAACAATAGAAATTCAATAACAGAAGAAATAACTATTTAATGAAATATAAATAGCTTATCGCAAATCCAAAGAGGAATAGCATAGAAAGGGGGAAGATAATCCACAGGAATAGGGGAAGCTGGGGAAATCAATTGCTGTATTCAATATTCTACCTCCATCGGTAAGTGCTGACACCTAGCGGCCGCCGGTGATGGCTGGCGATAGTTGAGGTGACGGCCGCTAGATGGCAGGTGGCGGACGCTGGCCTTGTCAACCCTGCATCTCACCGTAGCTAAAGTTAGCGGGTATTTTCGCTCTACTTCTGGGGACGAATAATCAGAATAACGCGACATATGGCGATAATAGAACTAATAAATAGCGGCTAGGGTTGATTATGACGACATTTGGACCAGGAATTGACCTTAGCTGGATAGAAACGTCGCTAAATTACTCAGCTCCAGATGCGAGTATTTTTGTGCGTTAAAAGCTTAGCCAGTTGATTACGTGTTAATGTATAATATCCCTGGACTTCATATTTCACCCAGCATGCGATAGTTACTCATATTAGACGCAGGGAAAACATATAACACACATTTTACGTGGAAATTACATATATTTTCGTAACAAAGGAAAATATTGATAAAACTCACAAACACGTTTCAATTAAAATCCCTAATCAACTCATTATATAATTAAATATACTTTGTAATTAGTATATTTTAATCTTACAGTATATAATAACAGTAATTATTTATTAGTGGTATTATTAACATTACATAGAGGATATTATCATTTTAATTGTTTAATTATCAACATAACGGGTATTTAATTAAGGATCATAACGCGACTAGACAAGCCCTGGGCAGTTCAAGATCTGCAGTAGTGCCTCTAGCCTTGAGTACAAGTAGTAGTGTCACTAGCCTTGAGTACAAGTAGTAGTGTCACTAGCCTTGAGTACAAGTAGTAGTGTCACTAGCCTTGAGTACAAGTAGTAGTGTCACTAGCCTGAGTACAAGTAGTAGTGTCACTAGCCTTGAGTACAAGTAGTAGTGTCACTAGCCTTGAGTACAAGTAGTAGTGTCACTAGCCTTGAGTACAAGTAGTAGTGTCACTAGCCCTGAGTAGTTTAACCAGCACTGATTTAAGTCATTGAACTCACGAAGTAAAATCATCTTACTCAACGGATTAAGTCGTCACTTAAGATGTTAAGCCATTGTACTCGAGAGGTTGTCATCGTACTCAAGAAGTTAATTCATCGGATTTAAGAGTTTAAGTCAATGTACTCAAGAGGTTAATAATCGCATATAAGATGTTAAGTCAATGTACTGAAGAGGTTGTCATTGTATTCAAGAGGTTACATCTTACCCTTACCCTAACCTAACCTTATCTTCATCTAGTCTTAACCACAACGTAACGTAACCTAACCTAACCACAACCTAATCTAACCTAAGACGTAGATTAATACTTTGTCAAGATTAACAGACAGACATATTCGGAGACGCTGCCATTAGTGTTCTGTTAACGGAGTTCTATAAACAGGGACGCTAAGCAAGGTTCTGTTAACGGTATAGATATATAAATCGACAAACTTATATAAATTAAAATATAAATAAATAAAAGTAAATATATATATATATTTATATATATATATATATATATATATATATATATATATATATATACATATTATATATATATATATATATATATATATATACATATTATATATATATATATATATATATATATATATATATATATATATATATATATATATATATATATATATATATATATATATTCGTTAAAGTATATAAATTACATAAACAAATATTTTCATATATAAATTAATTCAATAAAATTCTTAAAGGTATATAAATTAATACACATCATATATGAATAATTGGCAGTAACAAATAAATTAATTCAACGAAAAACCAAAAAAAATACTAATTATACCCTGAATTAATTAAACAGACTCGGATAGCGACGTAAGCCGTATAAAAGACCACATACATACATACATAGTCCTAAAACCTACACAAACACCTGCAGTACATTACACATATACATACATACATAAATGTTGCCCCTCGTGTAACGAGGATGGCCGGCCCTAGAGCCTCCTAGGCGTGAATTTGTTTAAGGTGTAGAAGCTGTCGCCAACACAACAACCACACCCTGAGTTAACGAGCTGCATGACCCAGTGTTTAAGGTGTAGAAGCTGTCGCCAACACAACAACCACACCCTGAGTTAACGAGTTGCATGACCCAGTGTTTAAGGTGTAGAAGCTGTCACCAACACAACAACCACACCCTAAGTTAACGCATGACCCAGTGTTTAAGGTGTAGAAGCTGTCACCAACACAACAACCACACCCTGAGTTAACGAGCTGCATGACCCAGTGTTTAAGGTGTAGAAGCTGTCGCCAACACAACAACCACACCCTGAGTTAACGAGCTGCATGACCCAGTGTTTAAGGTGTAGAAGCTGTCACCAACACAACAACCACACCCTGAGTTAACGAGCTGCATGACCCAGTGTTTAAGGTGTAGAAGCTGTCACCAACACAACAACCACACCCTAAGTTAACGAGCTGCATGACCCAGTGTTTAAGGTGTAGAAGCTGTCGCCAACACACCAACACACTAAGTTAACGAGCTGCATGACCCAGTGTTTAAGGTGTAGAAGCTGTCGCCAACACAACAACCACACCCTAAGTTAACGAGCTGCATGACCCAGTGTTTAAGGTGTAGAAGCTGTCGCCAACACAACAACCACACCCTGAGTTAACGAGTTGCATGACCCAGTGTCAAGGAATAGTCCGAGAAGACCGGACAACTCACCAACTGCACTGGCTAACCATTACCCCGGAACACGATTAACATCCAGGTGCCCAATTACTGCTGGGTAGACAGAGGCAAATGGCGTAAAAAAAACTTGCCCATAGTCACCCTGCCTGGGGATCGAACCCGGGTCCGCTCACTTGCCGACCATTACACCACATAAACACGGATCACACAAGCACACACACAACCAATGATATAATATAAACACACACAAGTATACACACATACACACACATCCAACACTCACACAAACACACACAGACCCTACACACTCACACATGCAAACACTCACACATACAAACACACACACACACACCCTACACACACTCACACACACACACCCTACACACTCACACCCTGCACACACACACACACACCCTACACACTCACACACACCCTACACACTCACACACACCCTACACCCTACACACTCAAAATCTTATTCTCTGTGTTCTTCTCTTTCCTCCCCTGTCTCTCTTCCCCCTTTCTTCATTACTTCCCCTTTCATTCCATCCCCTCTAGTTCTTCCCCTTTCTATTCTAACCCTCCTTTTCATTTCTCTTATAGTTACCCTTTCATCTCTTTATTTATCAAGTTTTCCCTTTCTCCGTTCTTTATTACCATGTCTCCATTATTCCTTTTATCACATTTTATCCCTATTATGCATTCATTAAGTTTTTTATCAGTTATCCCTTCTTCTCATTTTCTTTCTCTGGTTTATTACGTTTTCTTTCTTATTCCCATCTTCATTGAGCTTATTTTCTTTCTCATTCTTCCCCTTCCCCTCTTTCTATCATCTTCTCTTTCCCCTCTCCCTCTATCCTCGTCTTCTCCCTCTCCCCTCCTCTTCTTTCCCCTCCCTCTATCACCCTTCCACTTCTTCCCCCTCTCTCATTTCTCCTCTTTCCCCCTTCCCTCTTATCTTCCCCTCTCCCTCTTCTCTTTCCCCCCTCCCTCTTATCTTCCCCTCTCCCTCTTCTCATTCCCCTCTCCCTCTTATCTTTCATTCCCCTCTCCCTCTCCTCTTTCTCGTCTTCCTCTTATCCTCTTTACCCTCTCCCTCTTCTCCTTTTTCCCCTCTTTCTTCTTCCCTGTCCCCTCGATTCCCCTTTTTCTCCAATTCCCCCTCATTCTTCCCCTCTTCTCTTTATTCCCCCTTCTTCCTTATCTCCTGTTCACCCCATCCTCATCATCCCCTTGTCCCCTTTCTTCTCTCCCCTCTTCCTCGGCTCCCCTTTCTTGTTTCCCCTTTTTTCCTTTCCCCTTGTGTTCCTTCCCCTCTCCTCCTCCATCCACTTCATTGTTTCCCCTTACCATCTCCCGTCTTTCCTTCCCCTCTGCGTATCCTCCCCTCTTCTGTATAAGGGGTGTGTCCCCTCTCTGAGTTATCTCTCGCTCCCCTCGTATACATACATACATACATACATACGGCTATACATATACATTTATACATACATAAGGAATTATATTATTCATTTAGACATATACAGACATCTTACACACACACACGCACACACATCCTATCCACACACACGCACACACATACACATCCAACAGACATACATTCACACATACACACATACGTAATCTAACCAAACACAAGTGAAACATTTTAACGCAAAGTGACGATTTTGTTGTAATTTCCTGATATGACTGATCACTCAACTTGACACACACACACACACACACACACCTTACACAGGTTACATGTATATATTTCTACTGTAGGTACACCATCATTATCATTATTACTACTTCTCACATTATAAAGCTTAACAGTCTCATAAAATAATTTCTTAATAATAATAATAACTAATAATAATACTGTAATAATAATGATAACAATAATAATAATACTGGACTATAATAACAATAATGTAATAATAATAATAACAATAATAATAATAATATAATGATAAAAAAAAATAATAATAATAATGTAATAATAATAATAATAATAATAATGTAATAATAATAATAATACTGTAATAATAATAATAACAACAATAATAATAATACTGTAACAATAATAATAATAATAATAATAATAATATTAATAATAATAATAATAATAATAATAATAGCTCTCCAGTTATCAACACAAACACGACCTCTGGTAACCCCTGACCTGACGTGACCTTAACTAATCATTCCTCTATTAACGAATCAATTAAAACATTCCTTTATTCTGGATAAATGCAAGAAAATAATAAAAAACTCAGTACAGACAGACAGACGTGAAAAATAGCCTCATCGGGTACTATATTCCAGCTAGACATTTGGGTTCAACCGTAGTGACCGTACCAATTGACGGTCCGAAAATTAACAGAAGGTTACGGTAAGCTGACGGGTACAAAACAATATAAGTATCATCAATTACTCACTATGTTCCGCTGCCGCTAATTGACAAGAAGAATAGAGTAAGATAATTAAGGATAGTTTGGTGATTATGAACTAAAGAGAGAGGAAATGATAACGGTAATTAATGGAAAATGGTGAGCTGAGTTTAGCGGAAAATGCTGTATATAGCGTCAAGGTCGTTGGCGTTGCTTGCTTGCTGGGACGAGACACTTGCCAACACATCCTCCTCCCCCTAACCCCCCTTTCCCCCTTCTTCCTCCCCCTCTCCCCCAACACCCCCCCCTCGTCCCCATCCCCCCACCAACACCCCTCCCCCCTACCAAAACTTGCTTGCTTACTGTGCCCGCTACACCACTACCTCAATCCCCCCCCTTCCTCTCCCCCTCTTCTTCCCCCACCATCACCCTCCCCCCCTCTTCCCCCACTTCACTAACACTATCACCACCCCCCCACCACGACTCACCACCACCACTACACACACACACCCCGCGACCATCACCACACAACCACGTCTAGTTAACTGAACAAACAAAATCCACAATGAGATTTAAGTTCAGTCATTTCACGGGGAGATTAAGTGCGCCTTCACCACTCAACACACCAAGCGTAAGTAAAGTGTGGAAATAAAAAAAAAAATTAACCCACCAATGAAAAACACCAATAAATCACCTAATATAAATTTTTCACAACACTACCTACTTTCCATCGTTAAATATAAGTGTTTTCCTGGATTATAAGTATAAGTGAATAAGTGTCTATGGTTTCTAAGTGAGTTTATATATAGCACAGTTTAATACGTGACCAACTCTCTGTGTTGGTATGGCGGCGGCGCGTCCATCCGGCTTGAGGAATAACCTAACATTATCAAAATCAACAACCAATTATTACTACCCCTTCTAATTGGTAGTTTCGTTTCCTATCCCTATTTATAAGTAAACTAGAGAATAACATGAGGTAAATTAGCTGATAATAAAGATTATAATCATATTTATCTAGGAGCCGTTAAGCTTTTAGAACCCCGATAAGCGGATGTAGTTAACATTATTCATTGTTTAAGTGATAATTTCGACATGGTGTATAATTATGTATAAAGTATAGTTCTCCATAACACCAAAATATCTACAACCTCGTCTATCTGTACCATATTAACACGTCATTGGTTCCATAAATAAATTCAACCTTCAAACTTCGATATTGTGATAAAATTCCAAGCATTTTATCTTATCATTTTAATCGTATTCATTCCTATTTTTTTTGTCATTAGTTAATAATTGTAAATACGTGTGTTCAATATATTGTAAGTTGTTTTTAAAAGTGTTTATTTTACCCGCGCCACAACGTTCCAATATTGGCACACTTCTCACATGGCAACAATGACCCGTAATAAGTGAATAAATAAATAAATAATTCAGAAATAATGCATAAACTGTATGTATGTATGTATGTATGTATGTATGTCCCCAGAGTTGTCATGTATAGGCCGTGCTGACTATAGATATACACTAGTTACCAATAAAGTATACAGACAACAGGTAGGCCTATACATTAGCTACCTGTTGTCATGTAAACAACAGGTAGGCCTATAAATTAACTACCTGTTATGTATACAGACATCAGATAGGTCTATATATTAACTACCTGTTGTCATGTATAAAGACAACAGGTATGTATTATGTATAACAGGGAACCAATGTATACATGTTGTCCTTACGCATACTTCTTAATATTCTCGAATTATTCCTAATAAACCAAGAATCATCCCTAATAAATCCCGCATCGTCCCATATAAACCATAATAAAGCTCGAATCATCCCAATAAACCCAAATAAAACTCTGATCATTCCCAATAAACTCCGAATCATCCCTAATTAACCGACATAAACCCTAAATCACTCCCCAATTCCAGAAATTCGGTAATGTAGTTGAAGGTCCCAAGATCCAGTACCAACTAGGTACCAAGGTAGCCGTAACAGACACTCCCAAACACAGGGGCTACTACAGTGCCGTCCCCGAGGTGCTCCAGCAGAAGATGAGGACATTTCAGGTGAGTTGGGCTGACCTTACTTGATGCTAACCTAACCTAACCTAATCTAACCAACTGCTGACCTAACCTAACCTTACTTGATGCTAACCTAACCTAACCTTACCTGATGCTAACTTAACCTAACCTAATCTAACCAACTGCTGACCTAATCTAACCTTACATGATGCTAACCTAACCTAATCTAACCAACTGCTGACCTAACCTAACCTTACTTAATGCTAACCTAACCTAACCTTACCTGATGCTAACTTAACCTAACCTAATCTAACCAACTGCTGACCTAATCTAACCTTACATGATGCTAACCTAACCTAATCTAACCAACTGCTGACCTAACCTAACCTTACCTGATGCTAACTTAACCTAACCTAACCTTACCTGCTGCTAACCTAACCTAACCTACTACAGTGCCGTGCCTGAAGTGCTGAAGCAGATGAGGACATTTCAGGTGAGTTGGGCTCAACTTACCTGATGCTACCACAACCTAACCTAATACTAATCTAACCTACTGCTAACCTAACCAAACATACTAATAACTTAACCTTACCTAATGCTAATCTAATCTACTGCTAACCTAACCAAACCTGTTAATAACTTAGCCTAACCTAATGCTAATCTAACAAACCTTAACACTACCTAATCTAACTTAACACAACCTACTGCGAATACAGTTTACACAACCTATTGCTAACCAAACCTAATACTAACTTAACCTAACGTAATGCTAATCTAACCATACTTGCTAAAGAAACAACCTAACTTAACCTAATCTAACCTAACCTACCTTAACACTAACCTAAACAATAACAACTACAATAATAATAACAATAACAACAACTGGTAATAATAATAATAATAATAATAATGTATAAAATCATGGAATATAACACATTAGGCTTAAAATAACATCGAATTTAAAATACTTACCCTCTTCCACAGTGTACACCACAGGAGTCCTATCCACTCAGCCTCGTGTGAATTAATAGTACCATGTCATGTCTCTCATCACCAAGAACCTCTCTCTAGTATTTACATGTTGAAAGCGACGACCCGCAAGCCTCCGTCATATTGATATTCTTAACTTGGGTTCATATTATCGGGTTTTAGCGCTGAATATGGCACCAATATAACAGACTAAGCAATTTTATCCATTTGGCTTCCATAGTCAGTTTCAATATGTTAGATTATCTTTTTTTTCACGTAATTCAGCCCTCAACGTTGGGCATAATGACTAATGTTTATAAAATTACCACGAATAAGACCGCATTGTTATTTTATTATTTTTTTCCTTATTAATCTAACAATGCCAAAACAAAAGATGATCTATGTAAAAAAAATCATAGTTTTATATAGATTTTAGTTCGATTTAAATAGGTCTGGGTGATTTAGGCCTATAAACAAATCCTAAAAAGTAAAACATTGTCCTAATCTTGTTCGTCGTAATATCTAACATGGTCGTCTCGTCAAAAACATTATGTGACGTCATATAGATCAGGGACCAATTATCCACGTTTAATTAAATTCAATCACAGAATCAATTAAGAAACGTTATGACACTAGCTAGAAAAACATATCCTATTTAAGCCAATTCAACATCAATTAACAGCTATTACGACACAAAAGTAATATAACCTAGAAAAAATAGCTACTTATATCCTATTATTATTAAGTATTAAGTGAAAGTATCTAGTAAATATCCTATAACGCATTAATATAGTGTTAAGTGTATGTTACTCGTGGTTAAATCTCGGTATATCATGTTCCTATTTTCGTGTACTTTTTCCCGCGTTTTCCTACAATTAATTGACAATTATTCATCCCTCCTCCAATTCTCGGCCAATTACTTTGAAAATTGGCAAAATTAGACTAGTGCAATTTACCTTAAAACATTCACTTTTTTTTATATTGTAGCATTAATTTGTTTCGTTATGATTGTCTTTCAATTGAAGTTAATTAATGATTAGCAGTAAACAGGACAGCATACATTTCAACTTCATAAATAACTCGTTAAACTGAGACCATAAATTACGGACATTAAACCAGCAATAACCAAGGCTTCTAATATCAAGGAAAATAAGTAAATAATACAAAATTTTCCGTGATTTCAGACGGAAGGACTTTCAACCAGCTTACAATACGAGTAAAAATAACAAGGCTAAGAATCACACAAACCAATAACAACGAACACTACTAAAAATAACACAATCACAAGCTAAAAAAATGAAAAAAAAAATATAACTCTCCTTTGATTTCAGATGCCCAATGGTCTGCCAGTGCATGTGAAGGGAGGCCCGATAGACACACTACTGTACGTCTTTACAGCTGCCGTGTGTTTTATAGGATTTGTGGAGAGTTGCCGGGTCTATTACGTCTTATCCTACCCTACCCCACCACCTAAGGATGAATAGACGTCAATCTATCCATCAACGATAAGAAAAAACACAGAAAATGGGTTGAAAATTACGATATATCCCGAGTTGACAGTTGAGTCGCAAGATGGCTTTGTTATCCCAATGGAATTTTTTCTATATAATTTCTTAATCATTTTCGATACTAGATGAATGGGAGATTATCATTATTATTATTATTATTATTTCATCGTATAATTGTTATTCCGACCAATATTTCTTGACTAATATATTTCATTATTATGTGAAAGCGATCTTATCTCAGTAACCTCGCGTGAAGCCATATGTTGTAAATATCTTTCAATAAATATATATCACTACTTGTGCAATATTATCAGAATATTCCAAAAAGTTCTCCAATGATCTTAAAATTACCTGTAAAATATATTAAGGTTATATAATGGATGGATGTATGTATGTAAAACTCTATGGGTGAGGTGCGTGCGTACATATCTTTTTGGTTATGTATGTATATATGCCTGTTTGTATGTTCCTTATAAACTTCTTTAATCACGCATAAAACTAAAACGTACATTAAAAATTAAATCATTAAAAAAATTCGAGTTTTAGAAATGAGAACAAGAAAACATTGTTGACCCACAAATTCACGAAAATAGCAACAAAATCATAAACACATTTCATCAGGTAAAATAAACCAACAAAACCTACCTTAACTTAAACCCTAAATAAATAAAACCAAAAGTAACCATAAAACAAATTAAACATTGATTTCGTTCACTGAAAAAAAAATAATGGTTTAGGTTTTCTGTTCGTGGCTTTTTTTTCAACATTGGCCATCATATATTTTATTGTGGTTTCGGATCAGATAATTATCTTTATTGAAGCTCATCACTATAAGGTAAGATATTATTTTGTTGTTGTTTTAAATACTTGATTATAAATACAATTAAGGTGAAATATATTTTTTGACAAGTATATTTATGTAATATTTTCAGTACTGTATTGATTTCAGTAAGGGGTTCGATATTGAGGAGTCATGTTAGGGGTTCAAAATTAAGGAGTCATGTCAGGGGTTTAATGTTAAAGATTCATATCAGGGGTTCAAAGTTAAGGGTTCATACCAGAGGTTCAAAGTTAAGGGTTCATATGAAGGGGTTCAAAGGTGTTATGGAGTCACATTAGAGGTTCATTGTTGTTCATTTAAACCCCCCGTTAGGACACGAAGTATGGAATCCTACACAAATTATTCACTAGTTTTAACCTTAATTCACTGTATACCTGGTGTTAAATGATAGGGATTATGTTTATTCTATCTTTTTTTTCATTTTTATCAATTTTTTTTTTTAAGATATTGCATTTTTTTTCTAATTTCTGTCCCACAGGTCGAAAATTTGGCAACGCTATGACGTCATCGATCCAGCAACAGCATCTTTGACCAATAAGAAAACTAATAAATCATAACGTCAGTAAACCAGGAAGAACGTCTTGGACCAATGAGAGACCATCTAAAGCATGACGTCAGTGAAAGAGGAAGCATCTCGAGCCAATGAGTGAGCAGCACAGCCATGACACCGAGTGAACTTGGAAGAAAGTCGCAGTAGCCAATGAGAAAGATGAAAAGGTACGGCGGCAGAGAACTTGCAAGAACGTTCTCTTATAGCCAATGAGAGAAGTGCAAGAGCATGACGTCAGTGACCCTAAAAGAACGTCTAGGATGGACCCCTCCCCGTTCTGGCAGATGAGTTGATCAATACTCCCAACTAAAGGTAAGATAACAAATGCGTTATTATTTCTATCACTACCAATTACCGTCTAATTCCTCCCGTCAGTACCAAACGCTGTGAAAATATATGGTTTACTTGTACGAATGTTCTATATACCTGGGATTATTTTAAGGTTAACTGAGCAATAATTAGTAAACAAGTAAACAAAACCATTAGATATAAACAATGTGTAAAAAAGTTGTCTCCATAATGCCTTGTTTACACCGAGGGCGTCAAGCGTCGTATGGTAATTCAGTGGAAGTATCGTCCGGGACTCCTTCACCTTACATCGGGGTTTAGATATTAGTAGTTCATATTAAAGGGGTTAAACTCCGTAGTGGAAACGCAAAGTTATCGTATTCAAGAAGATAAGTTATCGTCTTCAAAGGGTCAACTCATAGTACTCTAGATTAATCAGCTGTACTCATTAGGTTATCTTCGTACTCGAGGGGTTAACTTATCATACCTTAGGGGGTCAACTCATAGTACTCTAGAAAAATCAGTTATACTCGATGGGTTCGTACTCAAGGGGTTAACTCATCATGACAAAGGGAGCTAACTATAGTACTCTAGATTTATCACTTGTACTCAATGGTTTACGCCAAGACACCGGAGGAGCTCAGTCATCGTACTCAAGGACTTAAATCATCGTACTCAAGTATAATAGGTAATTGCTATCTCTCCATAATTATTTGTTTCTCTCTACATATTCTCCCCTCTCCCCATTAATAGGTGAGGGGAGGGGGGAGAAGAGGGAGGGAGACAAAAGGGGAGGAGTGAGGGATAGAGGGGAGGGGGGGAGGGAGAGGGACAAAAGGGGAGGAGTAAGAATAGAGGGGAGGGGGGAGGGAGGGATAAGGTGAGGGAAATAATCTCTCCACCCCCTACCTCTGTATCTCCCCTTCCCCTGTACCTCCCCTACCGCTGTATCTCCCCTCCTACTTTATCTCCCCTTCTTATCGTTTCCCTCTGCCTTATTTTGCCCTCCCCACTCTACCTCCCCTTAGTGTCTTTGTGTGTCTCCCCTTGCGCCCCCGCTACTTCCCGTCTTTGTCTCTCTCTCTCTCCCCTCTTTCACTCCCCCTTGAGGCCATCCCTTACCTCCCCTTCTCGTACCTCCTGACGAGGGAGGGGAAAGTAATCGTTGCTTTCTCCGTCCCCTTTCCCCTTCCCTGTGCATCTTTATTGTTCATATAATGTCCGCCCTCTATTTTCTCACCTCCCTCTCCCTCTCTCTCTTTATCTCTCTCTCTCTCCCTCTGTCATTGTTTTTCTTCCTATCTTATAAAGGTAAAATATTCCCTCATAGTCTCAGGGTAAATTGATCCTCATTTTCTATGGTTAGGAAGAGATCGAATGGGTAACTAAGATAATCTAGTTTCCTATGGCTGAATGTCGCAACCTTCCACACTTACATTTCAACGTGCAGCTCGGCGACTCAAGGTGACCGTGGCATTCTGGATTTCCCCTCTTCCCCAATTCACTTTCCTCTTCCCTCACCCTCTCCCCTTCTTCTCGGACCCTCTCCCTCTCCCCTTTTTTGCCTCCCCTCCTCCCATATTCTCCTTTTTCTCTTCTGTGATGGAATAAAGCGATGAATGTCAGAGGTAAAGCCTTATGCAACTTTTGTCTATATGTGTAAATATATATCTTGGGTTCTTGTGTCACATGAAGCACTAATTACTATTATTATTAGTTTAATTATTATTATTATTATCATCATTATTATTATTATCATCATTATTATTATTAGTTTAATTATTACTATTATTATTATTATTATCATTATTATTATTATTATCACTATTATTATTATTATTATTATTATTATTATCATTATTATTATTATCACTATTATTATTATTATTATTATCACTATTATTATTATTATTATTATTATTAACACTACCACTATTATTGTTATTACTATTATTATTATTATTGTCATTATTACGACTACTATCATCGTCATTATCATCATGATCATTAAGGGAAGCAGGAACAGAAGCAGTAACGACATCACCAGTAGCTTTAGTGGTGAAAATAGAATTGTAGATAGAGGGAATACAGTTAGGGAAGAGAAGGGTGAATGAGGGAGAGAGGGAGAGAGGGAGAGAGAGAGAGAATAAAGAGAACGGGGGAGAAGGCGTTGTTGATCATCTTATATCAGCACAAGAGTATCGTACGTCGCAGCGCAAAGTTATCGTACCTAGTTGGAAGTTATCGTACTCTTGTCCTACTCTAATGCTGTTAATTAATTGGTAAGTTATCGTACCTAGTTGGAAGTTATCGTACACTTGTCACACTCTAATGCTGTTAATTAATTGGTAAGTTATCGTACACTTGTCACACTCTAATGCTGTTAATTAATTGGTAAGTTATCGTACCTAGTTGGAAGTTATCGTACTCTTGTCCTACTACAATGCTGTTAATTAATTGGTAAGCTATCGTACTTAGTTGGAAGTTATCGTACTCTTGTCCTACTACAATGCTGTAATTAATTGTTAAGTTATCGTACTTAGTTGGAAGATATCGTACTCTTGTCACACTTCAGTTACCATAATTGGTGAGTTAATGCATTAAGTTGTGTTGTTGTACTTGTCTTAAGAGTTGTTTAATGTTATCACACTGAGAGGAGAGTTGTTCTACTCTTGTGCAGTTAGTTGATAAGTTATCGTAATAAGTCATCTCTCTCTCTCTCTCTCTCTCTCTCTCTCTCTCTCTCTCTCTCTCTCTCTCTCTCTCTCTCTCTCTCTCTCTCTCTCTCTCTCCACATTGACTAGAGCGCCACATTCCATAAGTCACTGTTGGCACTGTAGTCACTGTTCTGTATTTTAGTCACTGTACCGGACTGTACTGTAAATGACTGCATTACACTTCAATCTAATTCACTGTAATCACTGTACTGTAGACACTACTGAAATGTAAGTCATTACTGTACTGTCTTGTAAGTCACTCTACTGGACTGTAAGCATTTTCACTGTATTGTACTGTAGTCTCTGTACTGGTGGTCACTGTTATGTACTGCAAATCACTGTACTTTGATTAAGTCACTTTAGTGTACTGTAAGTCCCTGTATTGAAGTCAGTATACGGTGCCGTAATCACTGTAATGTTACGCAAATCAGTGTACTGTAGTCACTGTAATGTACTGTAGGTCACTGTACGGTGCTTTAAGTCACTGTACTATAGTCACTGTAATCTACAACCTCCCCTCTCTTCACCCTCACTCTCCCACCCTCTTTCTCTCTCCCTTTCCCACCCTCCCCTCATTTCCCCTCCCTTCCCTTCCATTACTCTCCCTCCCCTCCCCCAATTCCCACCATTTTTGTCTCCTCTCCCCCACCCTCTTCTCTTTCATGCCCTCCTCCTCCCCTCTTCCCACATTCTCTGTCCCTCCTCATCTTCCCTCCCCCCTATTCACTTCCCTCCCTGTTCCACTTCCCACATTCGTTATCCCTCCCTCCCACCTTCCCTCCATTCCCACATACCCCCCCCCTCCTCCACCTTCCCCCATTCCCCATACCCCCCTCCTCCACCTTCCATCTCCCTCCACTTCACCGCCTACCCCTCCCTCACCACCCATTCCACCTAACTAGGGATAGAGTCTGAGTACAATTTCAACACCATCTTGGATATATCTTGCATCGTTGCTTCAATCTCAACTTGAATAACCTTACAACTATCTATCAATCTCTATCTGTTTACCGATGTATGTATGAATATCTATAGAAAGATTAACATAATAACGATGCCTTAACTAGGACAAGCATGACGGTCAATGTTAGTAAAGTACCGCGAACAGGATCACCGAGTTAATGATTTTCAGATTAAATAAACCAATTTAACTTAACTAACCTTTACTGTTAGGTTTACTCTCGGGTTTAATCTCCCACAAATAAAAAATAAATAAATACGTTATATTTATAAAGAATTACCTTATGGTTTTGAGGTCATGTTCGTAGTACTTCTCCAACACTAGCCGTCTTGCCTTTAGCAGCCGTGTTCGTAGCACTTCTCAAACACCGGCCATCTTGCCTAATGGACGGAACAAATATATTTACTATTTACCATTTCATCGGGATCACATTTCTTTATGACAATCATTTGTTTTCTTTCTTGTGACAACATAAATCGATGGAGAGAGGGAGAGGAAAAGAAGAGAGGAAAGAGGAGGAAGAGAAGGGGGAGAGAGTGGAGTGATTGGGAGGGGAGAGACAGAGAAGAGGATATATAACGTTTACAGAGATCAGTCAACTGATACCAAAGGATAAACTGAACTGAAAACTCGACTATTAATATTTTCCATCATCTATATTAATACTCTTTCATATATCCGTCCTTAATATTTATTTATTTACCTATTTATTCATTTATCATCTATTTATCTCTTTACTTATTCACTAAGATCAATTTTTATGATAGTTTCTCGTTTGCATTAGCGTGAAATATATACCCACATCGTCAAATATGTACCCAAGCGTGTAATATGTACCCTCATCGTCAAATATGTACCTCTAGCGTGAAATATATACCCACATCGTCAAATATGTACCCCTAGCGTGAAATATATACCCATATCGTCAAATATGTACCCAAGCGTGTAATATATACCCTCATCGTCAAATATGTACCTCTAGCGTGTAATATATACCCTCATCGTCAAAGATGTACCCATATCGTGAAATATATACCCACTTCATCAAATATGTACCCCTTTCGTGAGATATATACCCCTGTAATACTTACGATAGACAACCATTTAATATCAAATATATACCCTACAGTGTGAAATATATACCGTTATTGTTAAATTTAAACTCCTATTATACTTCAGGAGATATACACACTCCATCGACGTGAAATATATACCCCAAGTGTGAGATATATACCTCCTAAGGAAATGAGACACTATTAAAGTGAAATATATACCTCTATGGCACTTAAAAAATATACACACCCTAATATTATGAAAGATACATCCCATAGTTACCATAAAGTAAAATATATCACTCAAAACTTATTAATTCTCGATATGTATATAATTTGTTTATATTTTCATCTCCAGCGGGCGGGAAAAAAAGGCGGGAATTGTGTCATGGGGCGGAAGGAGGGTAGTCGGATTTTTCGCTTCGTTTTTGTAACAGAATGTCAGAAAATCCAATTAAATATGGGTTACAAAATTTTAAGATACAGTAGTGTGATTATTGGAGCGACTGAGGGTGTGGGTGGGTGTAGTAGTAGTAGTAGTAGTAGTAGTAGTAGTAGTAGTAGTAGTAGCAGTAGCAGTACTAGTAGTAGTAATAGTAGTAGTAGTAGTAGTAGTAGAGGTGTAATGTTAGTGTGTATTTTAAGGTGTAGTGTTTGAATCGTTTCATTTATATATTACAGAAAATACTCCTTAAAACTAGAATTAACGAACATATGATATTAACAGAAAAAAGTCAATATATTTTGTTTAAATGATTGAAAATGATAAAATTGATGCATTAATGTAATTTTATAAGTAATAAACAATGACCCTCCAGCGAAAATACCGTAATATTCTTTAATAAACTAATTTAAAGTACTTCTCTAATTCTAATATAACCACTTCATTCGTGATAAAACTTCAAAGAAATAACAAAATTATAATACTATCCTTGTTTCAGAAGTGTAGTATAAATTACGTAAATTCTGATAATAAACAAAAACAGTACAATTCCTACTTTACCTTCTGTGATGTTTCTTGCACGAATAAATATTACAATACATGAACGAACAAAATAATTATACTAAAGCAACATTTATTACCTTGCAAATCGACAATAGTAGCTACCTAACCTGACCTGACCTGACCTAACCTGACCTAACTTGACGCTGTCGACTGTATTTAGCTGCTACATAAATTTACTTTCACATTATAGTACTTACCAATATGCGTGTAAATATGTTGGTATTCTATAATTAGTTGAATTTCCTCTTCTTTAAGCGGCATTTTATCCAAGAGAATGATCAAGGAATGACCAACGTTCTTCGTGTACTCCCGTAATACACCCTTGAACGTTCAGCATTTTGTTTCTCTTACTATTTTATTGGCAATGTCATCGGCCAACAATTTATTTACATATTTTGTGGAGGAGTGCAATAGGCTTAAGTATATTCCTAAATCACAATGGTGGCATAAACACTGTGTCCCTCCCTCAAATTGCAAGTCGGAATCACTATTTTCATTGTCACTTTTTGGTGTTATCACTCGAATTGTCTGGTCTGATACCTGAAGATCACTACCGGTATCTTTATCACTAATTGTCTAACACCTCTTAATTATAATTGACACTCACGGATGTAGCGTAATAAAAGTCAAAACTCGGCACGATCAATGACAGCTGTCACGGTGGCACGAACTAAAACTGTCAACACTCCAACTACCATGTGATCTTAATTCCTATTGGTCAATGATTCTCTAGGAGGCTACAACTAGCTAATCAACAGCCACATTACTTAAGCCTTAGGTTTGGTAGAAGTCGCTTGAGATCGAATTTTTACTGCCAGATTTCCCTTAAGTTTTCACATATTGCGGTTAAACAACAATGTTCCCGCAAAAAACATATATATTCAAATTCAATGGTTATTTTTTTATTAAATTTTAATATAAAAACAAGATTGAATAACGATTGAACACCGACGAATCATATTTGTACCCTATAACAGTTATGGTAGCAGATAAAATACATAATTATCCGAGTCTATTTTATGTGGGATATTATTAAATTTTGTCAAAGTTTCCTGGTGTCAAGGGAATACAAATGCAACGAATAATTCTTTCATAACTTTTGGAGCCATTTTTTGGTTGTCGATAACTTGAGATACAGCCCGCAGGAAATAGTTATTGGTTATTGCCCCCATAGCTTCTAGGAATACGTCATCAAGGTACTGGAAAAGATGTGGTTAATAATATTTTAGTCAAGCTACAGTAAATGAATATGGAGTTATGCATGGTGGTCGTGGATTTGAATGATGCTGGCTAGTGTTCGCCTCCTCCATGCTTTACAAACCGCTTCTTCAGTGTTATGGCTTGCTTACTTCTCCTTACCATAAAGAAGGCTTATAAGCAAGAAAAAACATCAATGTAACAATAGAAATGAAGAACAAAAGAAGCACACCCACCTCTCTTTAACGCTTCTCATGCACTGAACCTTTCCCGCGTTTTTGGCTGAAAAATCAAAAGTTCACCGAATACCCAAAACATTGCTAGGTACCTCCAGATACATATTAATTTTAGTTTATAAAATATAACAAGACATTATATTATTCCACGTAGTCTACTAAAATGAAGACAATATGGACCCATACAAACCTTGGCAATGTGGACATGGTGAAGGGTGAGGTGGGGGGGGGATTTATATTTTTCGATGAGTAATTTTTTCCTATGGCATCATATGTCACATAATCCATGCCCAACCCTGAATGAATTTCCAATTTTCTTCTCGACCAATTATTATTATTATTTTATTTTATTTATGATTTTTTTTTGGGTGGGTGGGATGTTAGTGTGTGTATGTATGTAAATACTTGTCTTAGTGGTTACTTTATGTACATGCATGTATGTATGTCTATGTTTTCCAATGAGTACATTTTGATGAATTGTAATTAAAAAAACTCAATTTGAATAATAATTTGAATGATTAAAATACGATCTATACAAATACATACGATAGTTTAAACTAATAATTACATATCAGTTAATATATTAAAATAATTATTTGTGAAATATGTGTATGTTGCATCCTTGCAATACTGAAGATTATTTCAATGTAATTATTTTTTGCATAATTCAGGAATATATATCCTTCAATTTATTTAGGTATCAGTTCATTAGCAGTAAAAATAAGATACAAAAGTATGTTAGGAAGGTGTACAGGAAGGCCGTGTTGGCTCAGCTGATCGACCACAACACTGAAGAGGCCGACGGCAGTGACCAAGTAACAATGTTCTACCAGAAAAACACCGTTACTGGCCGCATCACAGCTGCCCCCCCGCTACAGACACCCACTGTGAGTCATATAAACAATATATTACTCGGATACATAAATTAATAACACGAAAAACTTATTATTTAGACAAGATTTCATATTTCAGCAAGAGAGGGCGGGTGGGGTGGGTACTATCACACCTTACGCCAAGGAGGTGTAGTGATATTGGCGACTGTAGATATATTTTGATACTCTTATGCTTGAAAAATGGAAATATATATTGTTTATGTCTGAACAATACCAATATGTATCATTTATTTGCTGTATTGAGTAGATTTCTGGGGAAGGAAGGATTAGGGAGGCTGCCCCTCCTTCAATCCTAAGTAACGTCCATCACTGAACAGCTCACAGTATTTATGGAGGTAATTATGGATGTATTAAATGGTTTGGTTAATCGACATATATGTTATTAAATACACATAATAAACTTTTAACATCTCATGGGCTCTCCTTCGTTAAATAAACTTACTAGTAACCATTCTTCATATACCTGCCCTGTCTCAGTATTTGATGAGTTTATTTTAAAATGTATTAATACTGAACATATCAATCTACTTAAACTTGGATAAATATTTGGGTAATTTTTGTGGAAACGTTAGTACGATATTTAATAAAAGTAAAACTATTAAGGTTCGTTAATTAATAAGTTATTCTGATAAAATGTCTAATATTTTTATTTTTTTAAAGCTCCATGTTTGTTTGCTTTTGTTCACAGGAGCTGTTCGTCTCTACTGTTTGTACATCAACACACAGCAGCGATTCTTAATATTAGATCTCTATTGTTTCCCAAGTTCATCACGAGCTTCTGCAATATAAAATGCTCTTCGATAATCCTGTAAGAAAAGTTTATACATTTGGTAACTGTGCTTTTGTTTTTGTGTTTCAGAAGCTGGGTGTTCAACCTGAGGGTGCGGAGATTGTCTACACCCCCGGCACTGTGTTTGCGAAGGAGCAGCCTCGTGGTCGGGGAGGTATTCCTGAGTTCTTGCTGGAGAAGATGCGGCATTTTCAGGTATTTAGGCGGCGTGTGTGGGGGGGGGGGAGGTTGACCATCAGGATTATGATTTGTTAGAACCTGGCCCCAATATAACCTGGCCCTAATATAACATGGCCCTAATATAACATGGCCCTAATATAACATGGCTCTAATATAACATGGCTCTAATATAACATGGCCATTAGAATTACAGCCAAGTAGGGTATGGCCCCAATCATGATGTGAAAATTTGGGGTCTACTAACACTGGGGCCCATTTTGATATCTGCCCATACAGAAGAGTGTAGGTAACAGATGGTTTAGTCATGAATTGTTTTATTTCAGTTTGAATCTAGAGAATTTGTTCCCTTGTCCCTCTTTTAAAGTGCCTGTAGTAACCAGTGTGTTTGTTAAATGTACAGGTTATAGTGAAACTTCTATATAACAGACCCTTGATATAATGGACTTTCATCTCTATATAGTTTGTTAGATGGAAGTTACACATCAAATTGACCCTCGATATAATGGACTTTCTTCTCCATACAGTTCTTTAAATAGAGGTTTTACCACATGTATCTCTACAGGTACAGTATATGAATCATTGCTTAATAATTACTACAGTATATGTGATTATTGTGTGTTAATGGTCCAAGGATCGATTCTACAGCACCCATAAGACAAAGTATACCTCTCACGTTTACCCGACGGTCACTGGTAAGGTGTGTGAGAATTAGAGAAAATCTAATGTATATGTAATTTGATTAGAGAAATATTTATACATCAAATATGAAATGATTTACCTATTTTTAAGAGAACTAAATCTACAAAGAAATGATGCTTAAGATATGATACAGAAATCTTTAGGTAAACATGATTTTTTGAGTTCGTATTATAATTTGTACGCTGGTCATGGGTACCTTTGCTGTTATTGGCTATAGGCTCAGTGATTAATGTATAGGACTTTACTTTCAGTTTAATTGGATTTTTGTGGTGTGTGTGTGTGTGTGTGTGTTTTGATGCTTGGGAAAACACACGTGGCTTCGGCTTCGGTATGGTATCATGAGCGTGGCTGTAGAAGTTTCACGGATGGCGGATGTGTGGTGATGGATGTATACTGTACTGTGGCATTGGTTGAAGTACGGATGTCTTAAAATTACTGGTTGTGACAGACTATAAGAATCACATATTATCCAGAACAGCGTATAGGATATATTAAAATTTAGTCACAATCAATGGAACACAATTTTTGAGTGGGAGTGACTGTCTTTTTATTCTTTAACACACCTGTCTATATCTGTCTGTCTGTCTTTTATCATTTCCTTTAGGAGTCTGTCTGTTGCTGAGAAGTGATGTCCGTGTTATCTAAGGTCAATTGATAACTCCTTTCAAGTTCACCATTTTGTGGAACACTTTGAAATTTGGTGAAAAGAATTTATCAAAAGCATTTTAATTTGACAGTAGAGGATTAAGAAGTTGAGGGGAGGAGTGAAGCAAGGTGTGTGTGTGTGTTGGTTCATGTGTGCACGTGTGTCTGTGTGTACGTGCATATTGTATGTACTGCGGGTTCCTCCGAAATATGGTACAGGTAGCAGATTGAGATCTTGTACAAAATAGTGAAGAGACAGAGTTAACATGGAAAGAACTTAGCCAGAGTCAATACATTAGTGCCTAGAGGAACTTAAATGAATGCAATCTATTAATATTTTGATAAATCTTTTAACATGTTTTGTATGTGTGTGAGAAAATGTAATCCTACCTAATATTTTTATGGCCTAGAGTATAAACAATTCTATGGATCGCTGTGCGTATAAACACTTGAAGGCAGTGGTCGATAACCCAGACTTAAAAAAAAAAAGAGTTCAAGTTGCAAGGTGTTCATGGAAGGTTAAATGTACATATGATGGAAGTAAATATCTGTTAGGGTATGGAAATGAGGGTGTGGGGATAATGCATAGGCCCACTGGGAGAGAATTGATGGTTTGGGGGGTTGACGTGATCGGCGCTCTTCACTTAATATCGAAACTCCAGCTAGCTATAGGGACAAAGGCCATCACCAGTGGACTTTTCCTGTTCCTTGCGTTCCATTTTTGTGAACCTGGGGACAGAGTATGTAATCTTTACCCACTAGTTAAGGGTTAAATCACAATAGGAAAAACATAGGAGTTATTGATGGACAAAATTTCCACTGGGATGTTTTTTACGGTTAATTGAACTTGGGGTAAATTTCCAGGGGGTCTTCAGTGACTGTAGAAGTTTGTGAGGAATAATGAGGTACAGAGTGTGTATATAGAGAAGGAATGTGTAGGTATTAGCAAAGGAATGAAATGGAATGGAAAAATTGGCATGTGAATGATGGAAAGTGTTGGAAAAGAGAGATACTTTACTGAAATGCTAATAATAAGAATGAGAATAAATATAATAAATAATAATAATAAAAAATATAATACTATTATTGGTTCATTTAGTTGTACAGTACATTGATAAGATTTCCTATCTATCCACCAATCTATCTATCTATCTATCTGTCTACCTAGCTTTTTACCTATCTGTCTATCTCTAATTTGTCTACCTATGTTTCTATCTCAAGTGAGAGGTTAGAAGTCTGACCGAGCTATTGTATTGTGTTCTGACCCATTTGTTGTATTGTAGTGTACCAGCTATTGTACTGTAGTTCTGACCCACCTGTTGTATTGTAGTTTGACCCACTTATTGTTATATAGATTCTCCCATGTGTGAGTGAGTGAGTGTGTGTGTGTGTGTGTGTGTGTGTGTGTGAGTGAGAAAGAAAGAAAGAGAGTGAGTATACTATATATGTGTGTGTGTGTTAGTGTATGGGATTTAAGTTGCAATGGGTAGGTGCCAAACTAAGCCAGGGAGTGTCCGTGGGCATAAGGAAAGTGACTTGCAGGAGAGAAAGTGCCACCTCTCCCTCTCTCTCTTGTAAGTGTAGTCTGGAAGTAATACACAAGTGAGAAATTCAAGCAGAGAAAATGCAAGCTGTAGAAACGGACTTTGATTGAAGGGCAGAGAACAGGTAGAGTGAGGGATGACGAGATTAGGCGTGGGGTTGAAAGGGGTAAGGTTGATAGGTGACTGAGGGGACACTCCAATGGTTTGTTCACGTCCAGAGAATGGATGGAAAGAGATTAAGTAAGATAATCCATAATAATGACGTGTAGGGAGGACATTGTAGGGGAGAGTAAGTGTTAGGTGTGGGTGAAGTGTTAGGTGTGGGTTAAGTGTTAGGTGTGGGTGAAGTGTTTGGTGTGGGTGAAGTGTTAGGTGTGGGTGAAGTGTTAGGTGTGGGTGAAGTGTTTGGTGTGAGTGAGGTGTTAGGTGTGGGTGAAGTGTTTGGTGTGGGTGAAGTGTTAGGTGTGGGTGAGGTGTTAGGTGTGGGTGAGGTGTTAGTGAAGTGTTTGGTGTGGGGGAGTGTTGAAGTGTTATGTGGTGAAGACTGAAGACAGTTTTGAGTGTTAAGTGGTAGGACTGTGGGTGGGTAAGTGTGTGGGTGTGAGAGTTAGGTGGATAAGTGTGTGGGTGGGAGAGTTAGGTGGATAAGGGTGTGGGTGGTGAAGACATTTCCCATCTCCTATAACTGGCAGTGGGTGATTAGGTTAAGGTGACACATTTTGTTAGAGGTGTGTGTGTGTGTGATTAAGACTGTGTTGCTATTTGAATGGATTATGTAAGGATTAGCTCCCTCCTTCCAGCTTATTACACCTGATATTAACCTAATCTAACCCAACCCAACCTAACACCTCTCAGGTATTAAAGTAATTTGGATGTAATATTTGATTAATCTTATAATTTTTCTTACATTATCTGAAGATCCTTTGGAGGCTTTGTAAATATTGAGAGAAGATTGACAGTAAAATGGTGATGGTTGTGTGAGAGTAAATAATTCTGATTCAGGCCGTCAAAGGTATTGTCCGATGATCCAACTGACCAATTACACTGATATTTAGACCTGTACATATCCTGTTCTGGACTAATTTGCTTTTATTTGATAATTGGACAATAGTTAATCTGAATGCACTTAGTCTGTAAACACATTTATTTTTGCAACGTTTAGAGTTGGTCGAGTTTATCCCGTTTGTTTAATGAATTGAACTGAGGAACCTTGGACCCTTCCCCCACTCCATTTATGGGTCACCTGAAGATGGGCCCTCCTCCACCCTCAAGTTTATGGTACCTCACCTGATGATTAAACACCCTAGGGGGGGGGGGGGGGTAAATTTGGTTCGGTTAGTTTTTGTTAGGTTAGTGTGTTTAATCAAGTGAAATAAGTTGATCGGCCTAATCTACAGACTATCCTTCTCGTTCAAGATTATTTCCACGGTAAATAACGAGTTTTTTGTCTCTCTCTCGGCAGCATCAAAACAACGTACCCATCCATTTAAAAGGCGGCCCGATTGACAAGGTGCTCTTTGGGTCGACCCTGGTGATGTGTGCGGTGGGATTTGCCGGATGTCTTCACTTCTTCTACGGCATGGCCTTCCCCAAGAAGTCCGTTGATTAAGGAACCATTGTGTTAAGCTAAATAGGGGTCAAATGTATTTACAAATTGGTGAGTTGAAATAGGTTGTATGGTGATTAGAGTGGTAAATTGGCCAGTTGTGTTTATAAAGGAAATATAGTCATGGTTATTTTTTTATATACAATACAGAATGAGGAGAAAAATGTTAACTTAGAGATGTCATCCAACCACTACCGTAGGAATGACCAACTGATTGACAGCAGCATCTTATAAGTAGTGGTCAAGCATTTCACAGGATGTCACCAAGATATGTTAAGTTTGTGTAAATAATGTGATAAAAGATGTGATTGATATTTATGAATAAAATTGCATAAATGTTGATTATTTTTTTCTCGAATTTCATCACGGTCGCAATAGACAACACAAAGGCTGGCTGATTGGCTAGTTAACAGAAAAGAGGTGAAAATGATAAAAAAAATACAATTGAAATTATATCTGATGCCCTTCATTAGAGGTCAAAGACAGGGACAGTACATGATTGTTAAAGGAACGAATTACCTGCATTGAACAGTCATTAGTACAATATGTACTCTTCATAACCTAATCAATAAGCAGAAATTACCCCTTGTTCTTTAAAAATAAACTACCGTACAGTATTTATAAACTGCCAAGGCTTTAAATTACTATCAGAAGAAGGTAAGTTAATTTGTCATTGGAACTTGTTTGGTTACCTTTGATGTATGATTTCCAGGTAAGGTTGGGAGTTACTTATTGCTGTGAAACTGACCATAACTTATCAATTTACAATACGATTTTTTTTTTGTATTTCTCACCTGATTAGACATATATTGTAGAGATGGAAAACGGTAAGAATAGGTTTGGTTATGTGAGGTTAGATTTGGTTTGGTTATGTTAGGTTAGATTCGGTTTGGTTATGTTAGCATTAAGGTGATTTATCTTCAGGTGAAATAAACTCAGGAATGAATCTTCAGGTGAGAATCCTAATTTTAATGTTAAATACCGACATCAGCGAGGACACAAGAATCAACCTTTACCCACGATGACTTTAACCTTCTTTCAATGATAAAAGTTTACCATCATATGAAAAAGTTATCCTCATAGTCGGGGTTGAAAGGTTAAGGGTCATGGTAGTGAAATCAGAGTCCTGTTTTGATGGAATTGACCTAAAATGGACAAGAGAGAAAGAGGAAGAAAGTTAGGGTGATGGAAGGGGTACTAGTGTGTGTGTAGTGTGTAGTGTAGTGTGTGTGTAGTGTAGTGTAGTGTAGTGTGTGTGTGTAGTGTGTGTGTGTGTGTGTGTGTGTGTGGCAGGAAAACGCAAGCTTGAGACTTTAGACGTAACAGCTTAGAGTCATGTACCAAGTGATGTGTTTTGTTGAGGATACCGTAGAGCCGTGAAGTACATTAGGATACTTAATTATAATCACTAAAACTACCACAATCAACAACTATTGACTACTACCATTAACTATAATCACTACACCTACCTACTGTCAACAACCACAATTACTACCATTAACTTCCACTTATCACTTTCAACAACCACCATAATTAACTACCACAACTACCATCGCCAACAACCATTAACTACCACCATCACTACCTGACAGAAATCATTCATTAATAATACATCTCTTCGGTAGATCTCACCCTTCCCCTCATCATCAGCCCTCACCCTCACCCAGCAGCCCTCACTCATCACCAACCCTTCCCCTCACTGCCATCCCTCATTACCAGCCCTTACCTTGAAAATCAACCCTCACTTTCAGCCCCCAGCCCTCACCACTAGCCCTCTCACTTCCTCCTCATCTTCACCAGCAGCCCTTACTCTTTATCACCAGCCCTCACCCTTCCCCTCAGCACCAACCCTCACCCTCTCCGGCCCTCTTCCTTCACGCTAATACCCCTCACCTCCTACCTACCCTTGGCAACCCTCTCATCTTTACAGCCCCTCCCCTTCCTCCTCACAAACTTATCTCTCTCCCCTCTCCTAACCCTCTGTCTTTCCCTCTCCCCTCGCCTTCGTCTCCCTCCTTCCCGCCCTCTCCCCTTCGCTCTGAGCTGCCTTCCACTATTCCCTGCTTCCCTCCTTTCTTTCTCTCTCGCTCATTCTAATTCTCTATATCTCTCTCTCTCTCTCTTGCTCCCTCTCTCATCTCTTTAATTCTCACTCTCTGTATTCTGTCTCTCTTTCTTTTGCACCTTCATTTCTGTCTCTCTCTCTTCCTCCCTCCCTCACTGAACCCCTGCACTCCCTTCCTCTCTACCTCACCCTCCCTCCCTCCACCCACACACTATCTCCCAGTCCCCCCTCCCTTCTTCACCCCAAATAGCCACCCTCCTCCGTCTCCTATACATGATATCTCCCAGTGCCTCCCTCCCACACATATACTGCCTCCAAACACTCACACCCTCCCCTCCATACTGTCTCCAAACACTCCTCCAATCAATCTCCCTCCTTCCTCCCACATAATGTCTCCCACACTCCTCTAACCAATCACTCTCCCTCCTTCCCACCCCCAGATACTGTACTGCCTCCCACTGCTACCTCCCTCACCTCTCACCTTCTCCCTCCCTCACCTCTCACCTCCCTAGGCTGTGAAGAAAATATATATATATTCATGTAGAAAACACTCCCCAAACACTAAAGGTACACGTTTTCAAATGGTTGTGTTTTGTTGACATATGACCTTACTCTTTGATTGGTAAAGTAACACAAGACATTAATACACCATAGTTACGTTTTCGTTATGGTTTCTTATTTATTTGTGTAAAAAGACGAGGTGAAGTGAGGAAGTTTTTGAGGTCAGGTGAATGAATGTATGTTGTGATTGGTTGATGGACTTACCTTGTTTCCGGCCAGCTCGTGTTGCAACTTCCTCGACACCGCACCTTCATCATAAATGCTGTAAAATGAGACTTATAGTTAATTCTTATTTACCTGTCCAGTGTATACATGCTGTACTGTATACCTGTATTGTCCGTATACATGCTGAACTGTATACCTGTATTGTCTGTATACATGCTGAACTGTACACCTGCATTGTCTGTATACATGCTGTACTGTATACCTGTATTGTCTGTATACATGCTGAACTGTATACCTGTATTGTCTGTATACATGCTGTACTGTATACCTGTATTGTCTGTATACATGCTGTACTGCTATGTATACCTGTATTGTCTGTATACGCTGTACTGTGTACCTGTATTGTCTGTATACATGTTAGTACTGTATACCTGTATACATGCTGCACTGTACACCTGTATTGTCTGTATACATGCTGACTGTACACCTGTATTGTCTGTATACATGCTGCATTGTATACCTGTATTGTCTGTATACATGCTGTACTGTATACCTGTATTGTCTGTATACATGCTGTACTGTACACCTGTATTGTCTGTATACATGCTGTACTGTATACCTGTATTGTCTGTATACATGCTGTACTGTATACCTGTATTGTCTGTATACATGCTGAACTGTATACCTGTATTGTCTGTATACATGCTGTACTGTACACCTGTATTGTCTGTATACATGCTGAACTGTATACCTGTATTGTCTGTATACATGCTGTACTGTATACCTGTATTGTTTATATACATGCTGAACTGTATACCTGTATCTGCATTATATATACACCAAACCAAATGCAAACTACTGTATTCAATAAAGTGCACATACACATACACACACGTTGAAGTCTGTGTGTTGACAAAGATAAGTGTTTATGCTTCAGTACATAAAGCATAGACTATCTTGTACTGCTGGTGGTGTGTTGTGTTAATGATGGTAGCTAGTGTGTCTTTCAAGATTGTCATCCACCCCCATGTAAATTAAAGTGTTTCTTGAAATAAAATAAAAAATTCCCTTGAGGCTGCCCTTTCAAGTTTGACAAAGAATTTAACACCCCGATGGATACACAGATACACGACACACTGTCAAAGGACAGATTCTTGAAAGTGTTAAGAGCTGGGACGCCTCAAGTGAGGAGGAGGAGGAATGCAACTTACCTGTACAGCACTTTGAAGAATCATAGAAAATATCTCAACTTTTTCCTTTCATTTATTACCATCATCTCAATAGTTATTTAATACAACCCTTGATTTAGTGGTCACCTGAAGATTACACACCAATTTCTCTCTCATATTAACATAACCCTTTCCTCCTCTCCAGGTAGCATTAGGGTGTTTAATCATCAGGTGAAATAAACTAGGGTGTCTAATCTTCAGGTGATCCAAAGTTCTCATTAAAATTCAGGTAAAAAGTGAGAATTTGACAAGAAAATATGGAAATAAAGCTGATCTTGGGGTGTTTGTTCAAGTTGTTCTCTGTGATTGGTACAACATCTAATTACAGTAAATAAAACCTCAATTAACTACCTATAAGTAGTTAGGTTATGGTATCAAGAGAGGCCTATATCACCATGTATTAAAGTAACCCAATGCTCTAACTCACCTGCTCGACTCATAATACCAACGACCGTAAAACGATGGTTATGGTACACTGTCTTGTTGGTTTTATTATTTTCTAACTTAAAAGTACAATATATATCCAATTTTTCCCCCCTTTTCTAAGCTCTTTCCCTCTACAGTGCAGGATAGCCCCGAGCAAGACCAATACACTCACTCCCTTACACTCCCTGTCAGGTCTGTAAGTGTAAATTGACCAAGAAAGAGATTCATGCGATTATCTGTAAACTTCCATATGAGATTTATTATTTAAGTCCAGACAAAAGATGTTGATGCTCCCCCATTAAGTGTTCAATAAAATGAAAATTAGTTACATCCAAATTAGTGGATGGAATATTGTAAAAAAATAACCAAATTGGCTATTTTTACATTACATCGCCAGTTCTTGTGTAAATAATTACTGTATATGACTTCAAATATGTTGGTACAATATGTTACAACTGGATAATCATTGATAAAATATTCCACAATGTTTAACACAAGTAATCCCAATATGGTGTACTAAAAATTTTATATAAAAATCCTATTGTGGTACTAAAAAAAATTTCCACACAAATAGATTTTAATTTCCAGACGTCGCTCAGTACATGACACTCGTACACTGACTCAAGAAGCCACTCGGTACACTTGACACACTGACTCAAGATGCCGCTCAGTACACTTGACACACTGACTCAAGATGCCGCTCAGTACACTTGACTCACTGACTCAAGATGCCGCTCAGTACACTTGACACACTGACTCAAGATGCCGCTCAGTACACTTGACACACTGACTCAAGATGCCGCTCAGTACACTTGACACACTGACTCAAGATGCCGCTCAGTACACTTGACACACTGACTCAAGATGCCGCTCAGTACACTTGACACACCTTCACATTATATTGGTAAACTAAACAGTATGTATAACAGATTGGGTAATATATATGAAACAAAATGACTTCCTCTGTTTTATTTTGAAGTTTTTAATGCAATACAATTATATTTCTGTTTTTTATGTTGTCTTTGCTTTAGTATTTCCTACCCAAACCTTACACCGTTGGTCAATACCTCAAGGCCTAAGTCAACGTGTAACACAATCAGGGATCAAGAGCCGCAAACATGAATAATAATAAAAAAAAAATATGAAAACACCTAATCTGTAGCACTGTACATTTTTTTATATATTATATTAAATACATATATATCCGAATAAAAATATTTCACACGCTTCATGGTTTGCAGTTATGGGAAAGTACACACACCTCTCACACCCTAATAAAGATGTACGGATACACCGAACACGTCTACAAAAGTTGCCTCCCCGTCCCTCCCTCCCTGCCTAAGTTTCCCAAATAACGACAACGGTAAGAAGAGCAATGCCGGGGGCCCCCAAATCCCTGACCTTGTCACACTTCTGGAGGGATTTACTTATGGACTGTTAACTCTGCAAGATCTCATCACTCAGGAGCCCTTACAATACAAATTTTATTTTGATCTTGGACAAACTTTAAAAAAAAAAAATTCCAATTAAATGTGGATAAGGAGTGAGAATGCAGCACTTACTTTTAACTCTTATAAATCAGAATGGTAATGAGCAGTTCATCTCTGTGGACAAATGTGCCATCATGGGGGAAACAAGCACAAAATAATATGGATCCACACATCTTTTTCTTTTAACGTTCTACCAGAGATTGAGTATTCCCAGTAAACTTCAGAGAACAGTCCAGACCAGGCAAATGACACATTTAATGACTTGGTCAAAAATTTGTACTTCACACAAATTTTAAGTAAAAATTATGCATTCAAAAAACCCTATGAGAGGAGGATGCTTGACACTAGGTAGCAAAAAATCATAAAAATTGATCTGGCAACTAACATGCAGTTTCAAGTTGATTGCAACCGTGATCACTAACGAGAACAAACATGGGGCTCAACAGGACGATGATAAACTTCAGTCAACATAATCAAGCTCTCGACGGCATAATACCTCATAGAAATTCATTCAATACTGTACAACAAAATAACTACTTAATACCACAATATGTTTGCATTTTTCAACTGCATAAAAGGCTTAATGGCTATTGACTGAAATTTGCCATTTTTGGGGGGATATAAGCTGCAGCCTCCCCTCATATGTTTCCTGAACAACTACCAACACACACAGCTCTTTAGATCAATGATAAAGGTAACAGATGCTGAACACTACATTAAATACTGTGGACATCAGCAATTAAAGGCGGCACACAGCCACCACAGCACCTAACTGTACGTTTGAATTTTCATAATTGCTTTCTTAAAATCAATTATCAAGAATGAAAAAATAATTTCCTTCTCGGATTCTATACAATGCGGATCGTACAAGTGGACCTTACACTATATTCATTTTCTTTCATGGGACACTATAAGAGTTAGCATAGAGCAGTAGTACATAAGAATCTGAAGGCATTTATGGAAGGAAGTCAACTTGTTACAAGCCAGACAAATGTCATCCTCTGACAGACATTTGTCTACAAAAGACAAAGACTGACAATTCTCAACTTGTAACGAGTGTAGACTAACTCTTCTGGCGATAATTTTCAATCTGGACGATAGAATAAATCAATAAGGGACCTGGGCTTTAAGTGGGGTCCACTCACTTTGCACTGAAGGTCACAAAAAATAGACTGTAGTAGTAATTCTGTCACTGATACCTGCACAATATGTAGTTGGCCAGTGAATGTAAAATATTATGCTACTGGTCAAAGTACCAAGGTTAAAATAAATTGTTGCAGTACACCCAAGGATCACAAAACAAAGTTGGGGCTTAGCTATGCGTCAGAAAGAAATCTACTAAGTATACACACTGGTCATAAAATAAACGTTGAGGCATACCTACCAGTTTTAAAATAAGTAAGTCAGGGTTCACCTACTGGTCATAACAGAGGTATACCTACCGGTCGTAAGATACCATGTGTTTTAGGCTATCATAATTTCTACTTGATCTGCCTGTGCTGTTAGAAAAAATTGAGCTAAAAAACCCTAAGAGTTTTTGCAATCATTCATGAATGCCCCATCCACCAAGTACATTAAAATGCAGTTTTCTTGGAACCAAACACGGAATGCTGGCAATAGCAACTCTACACACTGGGTAATTCATGGATCAATGCTGGCAAGACCAAACCTATAGATATATATATATATATATATATATATATATATATATATATATATATATATATATATATATATATATATATATATATATATATATATATATATATATATATATATATATATATATATATATATATATATATATATATATATATATATATATATATATATATATATATATATATATATATATATATATATATATATATATATATATATTATATAAAAAAAAGGTTCTTGTGAATCAAAATCCACATTTAATGGCAAACAGCCAGTAAGATAAATATGCAAAAAGCTTAAAGTATCAACGATTCAAAACACCTACAGACATCACGAAAAATAAAACTATCTTGTAATGCCAGACTGTTAAAACAACTTGTGATTGCCATAAACTTGACCTCTTATTGAGGGATTAAAATTCAGATCTCCTTTACTGTTTACTATAATTTAAAAGCAAATCCAAAGTTATCATCTATTTGAGCACCTTTAGACACAGTAACCATTTCAAGATTTCCGGCAGAGTGACGCACGCACTGTCTTTGTCAACCTGCCTATAAGATCTAATTCTATGAAAACTCAAAAAATGTAAAAAACCCAATTAATGTCATGAAACTGACACCATTAGGTCTCCTCTGGACTAATACAGTATAGGGTTGGGAGTGATAACTTTGGACATGAAAATAATCTCTTAAATCTGCTTTGTGTGGCCCAAAAAACTGACACAAAGCATCGGTCTAGTATAAAACACTACCTTCAACACATCTACAATAAGCTTATGAAGAAAAGCTCCTAAAAATAATTACAGGGATATCACTTTACAATTAAAAGGTACTTCTTTACAAGTTACACTACAATACATCACATGGTCTATGCACACAGACAAAGTTTGTTTCCAAATGTGAATTCCATGTAAAAAAAATATGCATGGAAATAAAAGAACGGCAAAATAGTTGGTGCCTTGTCTGTGGTCGCCATGTTGAGAGCTGCCTTGACACTTTGGGGATAATGGTTGTCCCTTAGTAATCCAACTATCAACCTTTGGCAAGGTGCATCTATAACTTCCAAATTAAGTCACACTCAATTTTCCAATTATATTACAAATACTCTAAGTACATACAACTGCATAAAATTGTTAATGCAAAATTTGTCTTTTAAAAAAATTACAATTTTCTGATGTTCACAATGATAATTTCCCCCTAATTAATTAGTGTAGCCAAAGAGACAACTAGAGAGGGATTGGAATGTGATCAAGGGTCAGACAAAGGTTCACACAGGGGTGACTGACATATACCTAGTGGGTGGGCAAAACTTGCTCACCAACTTACTAGCAACAACAGAGAAAATCTAGTGCTCACAGCTACAGGGAGATCATGGCACAACATTATCTACAGCTTGCATCGTTCAGCACCGCACTCGTCCCAGCCCCGCCGCGATCTGGCTCGTATAGGTCACTAGGCCCAGCACCATTTTGCGTTTGGGTCGAGTCAAACGTGGTCGGGTATCACGATAATCGTCACGAGGAGTGAGGTGCCTCTGCTGCCGACATCTGTAAATTAAGAGAGGCTGCCATTGTGAGATAGTGCTACTGAGATCCTCACACTACCTCTGCCAACAATCCAAACATCGGCAGATAATGGGTTCCCGGGGGCAGGTGCGCGGCGTGGGCGACGGGCGTGCCGTGAGAACCGGCAACGGTGTGGGTCACTCCGTGCGGCGGGGGTTGTTGATGAGCATTGCTAGTTGCCACTACACTGGGTGTCGGTAAGGATACGGTGGCAGTCTGTGCCACGGCCGTCGTGACCTGGGGAGCGACCACGCTGCCCGACACGCCGCCGACCTGGATGGAACCGTGGCTGGGCTGGGAGCTGGACTGGCCCGGTGCAGTTACCTTTATATGAGACCGCATGTGTTTTGTGAGATGCTCACGACGCGAGAAGGCCTTCCCGCACGTTCCACAAGCGTGGGGTTTCTCACCAGAGTGGGTCAGCACGTGGCGTCGGAGATGCTCATTACGGATGAAAGACTTGCCACAGACCCCACACTGGTAGGGACGTGGAACGGGCTCACCGTTATGGTTAAGACCACGGGTGGATCCCCCAGAACTGCCGCCTCCCGTATGGCTACTGCTTCCTTGGCCAGCATGGTGGCTACTGGACGAAGTGGTCACAACAGAAGTGGGCACTGCAGTGCCCGTACCCTGGTTGATCGTGACCAGCCGCCCATTCTGATCTGTGGTCTGCAGCAACAGTGTTGTGGCCAAACCTGGAAATACCACATCAGTGCATTATTCTAACAACACATCTTTATATAAGGGTTGCTGAAAATATATAAGTGCAGTTTTGTCTCATAACAGACCATAAGACAACACAGTTACCAATGTTCTTACATCAGCTTTAAGTTCAAAGATGTTAATTAAAGGAACAATTAGTGCCATCAACAGTAAAACAGATCTTGTCGTTAAGAAACAGTCATCCCAGTAACTGGTTGAATGGACTACCAGTAACAGACCTCTACCTACCCTAACCGCCAAGACTGGACCCATCTCGATGGATCTTAACCATAATGGCTAGGATAGGTTGGGGTTCTTTTACAGCATGTTCTATTTTAACCAGCAATTCCTCTCAAAAATCAAACTAAGGCTTTCATGTAAGTACAGCACAGTTAAAAAAACTTTGAATACTGGATTTACTGGATACAGAAATGAGTTTTATCCAGTGTTTGCAGAGCCATTTTAATAAACCAAACCAACTGTGAGTGCTGGTAGGAGGTGATGTACTGATCAAACATTCAAATATTTACTCATAACTTTAGTTTATTTTCCCGCTTGTTAGGATGTGTCTATGATGAGGTTAAGAATATAACTGCACTACATTATGGGGGGGGGGGGGATCTCTCAGCAGACGAGGTTCACAGGCAGATGTCCAATATTCAGAGCTTTCAAATTACAACACATTTAAATATCCTCATCTGATATTAATTAATCGTTGAAGATATAAACACATTACTTGCCTCAAACTAAAGAGCTATTTAATTCTTCAAATATAAATAATTACCATTACTATAATCTTAATAATTACTTTAGCAAACTTGTGAATAAAAAGTAACAACCAAACACTGTATCAACTTTTTCAGATTTCATTAAGTTAAAAATATACATTAATGTAATAATTAACTAACAAATCATCACCAGATAATTCATTAACGAAATACAATAAAGATAACATGCACACTACATAGAGATTACATTGTAACCATGCAACAGTTCATCTAAATACAAAAAGAGATGCATTTCTCAACACTGTATCCCCAATGATGCAAAGATACAAATAATAAAGGAAATGTAATGAGGTAAAATAAGGATGGATAAGAGAAATAGTAAAAAATAATAAACTGCAGTGAATAAATACGTAGAGAGGATGACATACGTATAAAGAGCATACACGATACAGCATACAATAAAAGAGTAACATACAAACATAGATTCTTCAGGATGTGCTTTTTATACTAACCATAAAATACGAGTTTGTTAATGGCTACCCGATAATATATATAAAACATTTAACACGTGAATCTATGCTCAGAGGACGAGATACCGTAAGAAAAATTAACCAAAAAATTTTCTAAATTATGATTATTATTTAACCAGGTTCTGTGGACGGCATTAACACGGATGATGAGTGTTAAACTAATTGTAATCTTTGAAGCACCTGGAGATAATCACAGGTAAGTCTGTTCTTTCTTACATGGTATATCAATAAGTCCAGTTGGTAATGGCATTAGGTTAGAATTTCTTTGAATTGTTTTTGTCTGTAACATCACATTCAGTTGTTAGTTGAGAAGTCATCTGATACTGACTAGCACAGTCCACAAGAACCAACTATAAACTACACTGTAAATTAAGTGCCTCATACTACACAATATATACTGTAAATTAAGTGCCTCATACTACACAATATATACTGTAAATTAAGTGCCTCATACTACACAATATATACTGTAAATTAAGTGCCTCATACTACACAATATATACTGTAAATTAAGTGCCTCATACTACACAATATATACTGTAAATTAAGTGCCTCATACTACACAATATATACTGTAAATTAAGTGCCTCATACTGCACAATATATACTGTAAATTAAGTGCCTCATACTACACAATATATACTGTAAACTAAGTGCCTCATACTACACAATATACTACATGATATCAATCCTACATGAGATATACAACACTAATTCACAACTTAAAATACATCAAGATTCAGTAACATACAATAAGATACTGTATAAACTAAGCAACATCCTTCAGCAGTGGACTAGAATACATGACTAATATATTTACCTCACTTACCTTCCTTGTCCAATAAGATCATTTGAAACTAAATCTAAAACTTTTTCTATACCAACGTACTAGAACATTTTTATTAATGATGTCAGAAGGATTATGAGAAGTCTTGGATAATGTTAGTTTTGCTGTGTTATGAGGTTTCCTAGTAACAATTGATTTAGACACAGTAGTTAAGTTTCTCTGTAAATTGGAATGAAAACTACCAGGTAATATGCAAGATTTAATTATCCTGATTTATCGATTATTAAAATACTGAGGTAAGTGATAGTGTTCATGAAATATTGATAAATTTGTATTGCTATTTTTAAAACTACTCAGTACTGTCTATTATATGAACACCACTATCACACCCTCTAACACCACTATACACAAACTGTTTGGCAGCAAAGGTTCTCATTCATTGTTGATAATAACGGATGAAAGAAAACAACACTAACTTTTTAAAATTGAACCTCGTTGTTTACCGATGTTACAACAATGAGCGAGAACCTTAGCCAGAGACATACCTTCTTTTATTCCTTGAGAAGAAGTCCATCAACTGTGTGGTCTGAGTATGTTAGTTGGGTTAGTTGAAGAACTAATATGCATGGAAATATAATTTAAAGTGGAAGATGATGTTTTAGTTGCTACAGTACAGTACTTAAGCCTCAATCTATACTACACCCATATGTATGCTCTCATAACTTTACTTGTACAAGAGTTTGATGGTGTTACTTGTTAAGGCATCAATAACATTACTGAATTATCATTGTGTGAAAACAATGGGTGGTGATGATCATGTGTGGTGATGAGTATGGTACCTTGACTATGGTGTGCAGCCAGACGGTGATGAGGCTGCTGGTGCTTGATGCTACCGTGGGTGGCGGAGGGCGGCAGCAACTGTGGCACAGCCGCATGCAGAAGACTGGACGGAATCTGGCCCGCCCCGCCGAGAGTGGTGATGGCCGCGGCCGTCACGTGCCCCAGCTGTTGCTGCTGAGGGGGGGTGGGTGAGTCCGCAGGTGAGCACATGTAATCATACTCACCTGGGGTGTGAGGATGGCCGCTTGGAGGTGGACTGTGTGGGCCCGGTGGTTTGGTGTGGCTCAGCAGGTGTTTGGTAAGATGCTCCCGCCGTGAGAACGTCTTGTTGCAGGTAGGACAGTGGTAGGGCTTCTCTCCGGAGTGAGTAAACGAGTGACGACGAACGTGTTCATTGCGAGTAAAGCCCTTGCCACACACTGCACACTGGTATGGTCGAGTGGGCAAGTGGATACGCCGATGACGATCCAAGTGCGCCTTGCGCTTGAACGTGACCCCACAGTCCTCACACCTGTAGGGCTTGTCCACACTGTGTTGGTCTACCATGTGTTCTTCAAACTGTAGTGATTTTTGCATATCTGCGCCACAGATCCAGCACATAAACGAAGCACCGGACGTGTCCACTCCTGGTCTTGGTAAGATCGCACCGGGCGTCAACGAACCTTGGCTACTGTCTCGTCGCCTGTCGCCCTGCTTGCCGTAACCGCCGCTGCTGCCGGAGCCCTGTTTGACCACCACGGGCGACGTGGCCGCTCCACCCTGCGCTGGCGGAGTCTGGGCGGAGTTGGATCCTCCTGAACTGTAACCGTTGGATGCCACCCGCACCCCCTCCTGAGGGTTGGGCACGTACAGGAAGTGGTTACGCACCAGGTCGGGGTTGATATTGCGCACCAAGTCTGGGTTGGTGAGAAGATTGAAGGCATCAATGTGCTGTGGCACTGACCGCTGGGAAAAATAATGTAACACCTCGTTGACACTGTTGAAGTGCAACTGAACGATACTGTTCTTGTCCTTCTCAGTACCTGTGTTGAGCCCCGGTATACCCCCCCTAATCTCAACCTTAATCAGTGGTTCAAAGTCCGTAGTGTCAGTACCCTTCTCCACGCGACTCTCGTGCGATGCAACAGAAGACACTCGGGGCGGAGGAGTGAAGGCTCCCTGGGAGTCGTCCTTCGTCAACTCCTGAACCTTGCCCTCCCCCGCCAACCCTGCCCCACCATCGCTCTCATGCAGACTGCCTCGTTGCTGCTGTTGTTGTGGTGGAGGCGGTTGCTGCTGCTGTTGCTGCTGCTGCTGCTGGCTGACCGTGGGGGTGACACTGACAGCGTGTGCCTGGTAGGCCACCTGACCTCCCATGGCAGCCACTGCAGCAGCCTGGGTCGCAGGTATCCCCCGACCATTGTCGATCATGTTCATTGTGAAGTCCATGGCTCCTTTATGCCTACACACCTGCAATAGAGGGAGGCTGTCAGGCCCACCCACACAACTCTACTGGACAACCATGAGGGCCACACACTCACAACACCAACACTTTCACCACTGATCCCTACAGGTCTCTCTAGGTTAGTGTAGCACCGAGGTAGCCCCTCTGTTTGATGCTCCCCTCACCCTTCCCCTGCCTCCCCTCCCTAGTTCATATCTAGCGGCCCACCCTCTCTGTTTCCCTCCCGCCCCTCGTTAGCTTCAACAGCATCGACGCGATATCACATTGCCTTTCCCAGCGGTCAGTGTCACAGCAAAATGGAAGCCATGCTAGTAGCATAGCATAATACTGCAGAAATATACTATTTCTGACATCATTTCTGGAATAAAAAATAAAGAATTTATGCAAACTGTAGATAATAAGCAACAAAAGCAGCCATGCATGTCTGCCTAAAACTATCTCAACATGCTATTAAAAACTAAATAGTTCTAGTCATGCCAATTAAATAATAAAAACAAGTGTTAGCAACAAGAACTCTTAACACAGGAAAATTATAATGTTAATAAAGAGTTTAATATTAACAAAGCAAGAAAAATGAGGTACTTATATAAGAACAACAACAAGCTTATGATCACCTACTGTTGTTAACCTTGACCAACAACCTCACAACACTGTAAAAGATATAATTATCACAACACAACTGACCGAACATCATCCCTTTGAGGTGAACAAAATTATTAAGTCCAAGAGTACAGTACTATATTAATGATACCAACAATAACAACTATCATCCCTTCACTTGTCTCTAACATAATAATAAAACTCAAACAAGACTAATTACTGTGTTCAGCCATTTGTTTTACCTCATAACAGTCATCACAGACGGCCACCGACCCTTCCCTAAATCCCACCGTAAACTAAAAAAAATAAACACTACCATGATGATAACTTGCGACCACGTGGCATTACAGAACAACCGAACCTCACAACAATAACCAAACAAGCATTAAAAAAAAAACCTACACGGTAAACAATAACAATGGAATGTCGATGAAATCTTCGGTATATAATCACTTTTTAGATGAACTAACAACGGCCACGGGTTAAAAAGGTCGGACAAGACGGACGTACAATTATGGTGTGAGAAAAAGTGAGTTGTCGTGTGTGGTTGGGAGAGGAAAGCCCGTGCTAAAACAACACCACTTGGAGGATCCGCCACCGTCATAATCTCTCACAACCAGACTTGAAATATAAAAGCAGGCACAGGGGTGAGGGTGAGGGAAGGAGGGGGAGGAAAGAGGGGAGTGCAGAGAAAAGTTGGGGAGGTGAAGGGGAAGGTTGAGTAGGAGGGGACGAGGGGAGAGCAGGCAAAAGTTGGGGAGGATAGGGGGAAACTTGTGGAGGGAGAGGGGAAGAATATTGAGGAAGGGGAGAGAGGAAAGGCCGGGAAGGAAGAGATCATTAGGGAGATAGGGAAGGGGACGGTAAGAAGGGAGAGGGGAGTGAGTGATGTTAAGGGAGAACGAGGGAGATGAAGGTGAGAGAGAGAGAGAGAGAGAGAGAGAGAGAGAGAGAGAGAGAAGGAACCAGTGTGGTAAAAGTACAGAGAGGAGGGAGAATGGAAGGGTGACTCTGAAGGGTGTGGATTACTTCCATATGAGAGGGTGAAAGCACGATGAGAAAAGGGGGAAGAGGAAGTAAGGGTGATAAAAGGAGGGCGCAGGATAAGGATACGAGGGAGAGAGAGAGACAGAGGAAGAGAATTGAGGATAAGAAAGGTTTACATGACACAGAAAGAGACAATATCTGAGAAGCTGTAACTTAAGAAAACTAACGTGAGGTGACAGAGTGGAGGAGGAGGAAGAGAAGGAAGGAGTGGGTAGGTAAGAGGGGAGGAGAGGAGGGGGGGGGGCAGTACGAGGGGGTGAGGGATATGTATGAGTGAGGGGGAGAGGCGACCACAGGTGAGAAGGGAGGGAGGGTCAGGAGCTGGGGTGAGTTGCTAAGTAGGGAATAAGGAGAGGAGGGGGAGGGTGAAGAACAAGTGACAGCAAGGGAGGGGTGTAGGGAGGTGACCAGTATAGAAGGGGTGAAGTTATAACTGGGTACAAGGAGGGGAAGGGGATGAAAATTGGGGATCAAGTGAGATGGGGGGAGGGTAGGAAGGAGGGGGGAGGGGTAGGAAGGAGGGGAGAGGGTGTGGTTATACTGAAAGGGGAGGAGGGTGGGGTGGGGTGCAATCAACTACGAAGGGGGAAGGTGGACTGAATTGGGAGGGAGGGGTTAACATGAAAGGGGGAAGGGTAGATTGACCTAGGCGGGGAGAGAGGAGAAGGGGGGGGTCATCTGAGAGGGTGTGTTGGAGGAGTGAGCTGAATTGGAGGGGGGGTGAATTGAAGGGGGGGTTGAGGGGTGGGGTGAATTGAAGGGGGGTTGAGGAGTGGGGGAATTAGCAGGTGGGTTGGAAGGAAGTATGCAGAATGCACTGGGAAGAGAAGAGGGGAGAGATGAGAGAGGGTGAAGGACAGAGAGATGGAGAGAAAGGATTGTCCCGAGAAGCTGGAGAAAAGACACTGGGAGATGAAGAAGAAGAAGGGAGAAAGAGACAGAGATTGTGAGATCCAAGGTGGAATGGACAAGCAAGCAGGGAGAGAAGGGTGAGGTGGAGAGTGAACACAGGGAGAGGGAGAGAGTGGGGTTAGGAACGAAGAAAAGGTTGGAAACAATTATAAGAAGGAGGGGAAGGGGACGACTGTTGTGAAAGAAGGCAGGAGGGGAGGGCGGAGGAGGGAACCGAAATGCAAGGTTGGCAAGGGTGAGGGTGAATGATGAGGAGGAGGGGGAGTGGAGAGAAATGAGAAGGGGAATGTTCAAAAGGGGGTGGGGAGAGGAAGGGGGGGGGGGGAGCAAGAGAGGGGAGAGAATAATTGCACTCGGTCATTGGATGCATAATTTGGCAAAAATAAGATACTTTATCAATACTTTCTACGCTCACCCGGTGCAAATCATTTAAAGTGTCATTTTTCCCCCTCTCCAAGCACAAATTAATTCTGCTATTCAGACAGTAGTGCAACAATGTCCAGGGTGATCAATACTACACTTGCAGTCATTCCAAGACAAGAATTAACATGCGCAGTGTACAGTACATTGCACTCTCCATCTGTGCATTTTCGTTCAAGTTTATTCATCACTGTGCAATTCACATCATGGACTAGATGGGTAATAGCTAAAACACATACAATGCACAATACATCACTGCGTGTATCTTTCAATCCTGAGCAACTCAATATCAACCTTGTGTACTGTGCAGGTGTTGTAATACTTAACTTGCACAGTTCTTAGTCCTGAGCAACTCAATATCAACCTTGTGTACTGTGCAGGTGTTGTAATACTTAACTTGCACAGTTCTTAGTCCTGAGCAACTCAATATCAACCTTGTGTACTGTGCAGGTGTTGTAATACTTAACTTGCACAGTTCTTAGTCCTGAGCAACTCAATATCAACCTTGTGTACTGTGCAGGTGTTGTAATACTTAACTTGCACAGTTCTTAGTCCTGAGCAACTCAATATCAACCTTGTGTACTGTGCAGGTGTTGTAATACTTAACTTGCACAGTTCTTAGTCCTGAGCAACTCAATATCAACCTTGTGTACTGTGCAGGTGTTGTAATACTTAACTTGCACAGTTCTTAGTCCTGAACAACTCAATATCAACCTTGTGTACTGTGCAGGTGTTGTAATACTTAACTTGCACAGTTCTTAGTCCTGAGCAACTCAATATCAACCTTGTGTACTGAGTATGATTCTAACTATGAACTAAGTGGGTCATCCAAGCATACATTACTTCATATAGTTACAACATACAACACTTCACACACACACAACACTTCAGAGACAGTTACAACGCTCCATATACAGACACAACACACTCAACACTTCATATACAGGATTCACAACACCAAATAAGTGTCTAAATCCTGTGTTTTTATGATTCAAGCCAACTCACTCCTGTCCTCACACAACACACATAAAATAATAACGGAGTCTCCAGGTTCACCAGCAGTGAGTAGCATCGCAAACGCACATCGGCACAAATTATGTGACATGAACACAGAGGGGACGGGACAAAAGCCTTTAGTTATATCTACCGGGGAGATTTATTTCGGAGTCCTCAACTAAACACTGTTAAAATAAATAAAGAAAAGAAATTAATCTATATTTGACCATTTGAGGCGATTACTACGAACATACACACACACACATATTCCCTTCTTGAATATAAAGATGATGAAGATTAGACACCCTAACTTATTTTACCCAATGATTAAACACACCCTAATATTACCTGAAGTGGTTGTTAGATTAGGTTAACATAAGGGTGTTTCACATGAAGATTAACCCCCCCAAACTTAATCACCCGATAATTAAAATATCTTAGTGCAAACCAAAAAACCCGCAGGTAACATTAAGAGAAATAAACTGGCTGGGGAGTTGCTAATCTTCAGGTGATACTTATAAGTTAATATTCTATAAAATAACAATTAGGTGATATGTGGGAGATTTTAACCAGATTGATATTAGGATTTCACAATATAATCTAAGTCAATATTTGGTAATTCTTTCTATTTTGATGAACCAAACACACAACTATGAACACTGAAGCTAAAAATATAAATGAATAAATAAAAAATATATAGAAAAGGCTGCATAGAACCAAGGAATTTGACAAGAAAAGGATGGGGAGGGGCAGACAGACAGACATACCGTACAATGAAATTAAAACTCCAGCGCATAATTCAACACCAAATAAAACTCAAAAGCCAAAAAAACACCAAAACAAAAGACTAATAACCTAAAAACAAAACCCCTTAAAGACTCACAAATGTCAATAATAATAAACCAGAAAATCCGTGAACATCGAGTACAGTTCGTAGACCAATGGTGGACAAGACTAAGTGCAAGAAAACAGTGTAGTAGTAGTAGTAGTAGTATTAATAGCTGTTCACATCACACAAACTGATCCCAAATACCAAACCTCATTACAGAACAGAGCTTACCAACGAGAGGACAACCAACACACCCAGTAGAACAAACGCCATCATTAAGTGCTACAAGTATGATAAGAATTAGTGTATGTTAATGAGTGCTATGTGGGTTATTGGTGGGGATGCCGTTAGAGTATAAGCATGGATGAGGAAATAGGCCCGTGTGCTGTATACTATGTTTTCCAGGCATATTGAGGATTGTTGTTCAGGGAGATGAGATGACCAAGGGCCCCTCACAGTGATATAAAGTATTTTTATTTTATTAGCTATAATATATTTTGTTTTAAATTTTAACTCTTCAAACAGTGATGATCAAGAGTTAGCTGTCAAGGTCCACCAATTTTTACATTTATACGAGTGCTTACTTGAAAAACTGTATAGTATGAACGTCTAGATAAGTAAAAACTAGTGAATATGGTCTACAATCATAATCTGTCCTTCAATATAGACACAAGCTTGAGCTGTTCTTTAGTAAACTGTGGACATAAACTAAAGTTGTCCCTAAATATAGACAAAAGCTTTAGCTGTCCTTCAAAAAAGACAGAAGCTTCAGCTGATACTCTGGTGTGGTGTACAGTATATACAACCAAGCTGACCACCAGCTTCTTCAATGCCCTGGGCTAATACTTATATAGCTCTCCTCACCAGAATCCCTAACCTAACCAGAATAAATATTGTTAGGTTTAAGAGAAGTCCACTACTAACACTACACCAATGATTTAAATAATGTGCTGAAATATCGAAGCAAGTTCAACATGTGAATGGTTAATACGTTCATCTATGGGGATTAGTGACGAGACCTCTACTTCTGTTATTCTTAGTGCGAGTAGAGTAGTTGGAAAGCATGTGATACTCTCTCCTGCTAACTACAGTATGGGGTAACAGGGGTAACATTCACTCTTCACACACCTTGGAAAGACTTTTGATAGTGGTCGAGGGAAGGTTTCACCGATGAATCCATAAAGAGAACCTTTTAGGCCAATTAGAAGTACAGTAACCCTGTTGAGTAGAAAGGTCACTCTGCAATTTAGGGCCATAATTTCTCTAATCTAAGGTGTACAGTAATTATGACAGCACTGACTATACAACAGATCACTTTTTTAAATACAATGTATAGTACTGTCGTTCACAACCGCTAAAATACCAAGATTTTAGCCAATACAATGGTCACTTTTAGGAATATTCAATTTGTTGCGAATTTGACCCATATTAGCTTGCATAATAAAGTCCAAATTGGGGATTACCTCATTAAAATCCATCTGACGTGACAAAATACATCATTATTTACATTTAAGGAAATTATGCAGCAAATCACACGAGTATTTTCATGGTCACTCTCGTGGGGGCAGTTCAATAGTGATGGAATTAATGAATGCGGCTGAAATCACTGCTAGACGAGTGACCCCAGACCTGTCACTGAAACCTTTCCCTCCGAGTGTCAGCGTGTTCTCTCAAAGCAACATGATTTACACCTGTACTGGGTTCTTTCCTCATTTATAGGGGAGGGTCGCACAGTGTAAGCTATGTCAAAACCATGGGAGGGCCACACAGTGTAAGCTATGTACCGTATATACCATAGGAGGGCCACACAGTGTAAGCTATGTACCATATATAGTATACCTAGGGAGGGCCACACAGTGTAAGCTATGTACCGTATATACCAAGGGAGGGCCACATAGTGTAAGCTATGTACCGTATATACCATGGGAGGGCCACACAGTGTAAGCTATGTACCGTATATAACAAGCAAGGGCCACAGTGTAAATTATGTGCTATATACAATATACCAAGGGAGGGCCACACAATGTAAGCTATGTACCGTATATACCAAGGGAGGGCCACGCACTGTAAACTGTTTAACCACCAAGGACAGTATACAGTGTAGACCCAACAGGAGTCAACACATGAGCCCAAATGGATAAATCTACTCACGATCATGAATCAATCTTGAAGGACTATGGTGACCCGATTTACTTTCTATCGGTGCCAATTACTCAAGGCCGGGGGTGACGAGGGTGTGGGATTGGCCGACGGGACAATGATTAAAGCATCTATATGACAAAAATGAACGACTGAGGGGTATAGGTTGTGTAAACAATAAAAAATAAAGCATGGCGCGGTGCTTCAGTGGATCATGCATTGTGACTGAAAACAAAATCATTACATACATTAATAAAAACACCAATACATGCGTCAACAGCACCTCGGCCATCTTCAACGACCCTTACACAACTCGAGGCCAATTATAAAAAGGAATTTACAGATTCTCATTTGACTGGCTGAGGCAAAATATCAGTGAGTGAGTTTATGAGGTAAGATACTGAGGTGCTGCTGAGGAAAAAAATAAAAAACAATAACTAATTACAAACACAAAAATGATAACAAATACAAAACAAACTGCTAAAACCTCCTTAAATTATTATGAATCCTTAAAATATATAATATAATCTATGTTATTAACTATATTCAAACTGGATACACCTTAATATATAATAATAATATTTTAGCTGCATTATTCAGGAAGTACATAATGCTAAAATGGAGACCTTCAATAAGTTTATCTGTGTAAGTATAAGCCAGCTTGCAGTAGTGTTAGGACCGGTCAAACAGCGGTATCTCAAACGTGATATGACCTTCAAGATATGACTGGGCAAGCACTCGGCAGATAAGGCATCGCGTGCAACTAAGGGACTCCTGATGACTTTAGTACGAACTGTTATCATATATATAGATAAGAAACCGGATGTCTAGAAAGTGCTAACCCACGTGAGTTGTTGAATAGGATAATATGCCTTTTGATTGATGTAAACGTATCACTTCAATTTACTTGTTAAAAATCATAACGGACTGAAAAACAAGATGGTGTGTTTAAGGACCAACCACAGCAGCTCAACAATACAGTACCTTATCTCTTCTCTCTTTCAATTAATATGTTTAAATAGTGGTATCTAGTCAATAATTATTGTAACGGTCTCTTTTTATCTTGCCAAAATATACTGTAGCTGCACTTCTCAAATTTATTTAATTTTGGTTTTCTAATTATAAAGTGAAACTGATTCATTCATACTCCATTCCTTAGTAAATAATTCATATACAAAAATTTACCTTTAAACTATAAAAACAGATCCTATTTCTTCTTTACATCAATTTATAAGTCAAAATGATTTACTTTCACTTGTCAAAATAAGTTAGTGTCACTTGCATAATTTTCCTACAATAAGAATACTTAGAATAATGACAAATGTTGGTACAGTAATAGCCAAGAACCTCACCAGCTTGTAACGAGTTAAGTTCAAGGTCCACAAGGGGTCATGACAGCTAAAAACTGTTATTCTTTTGTTGGCAACACAATACAGTATACAAGTTCTTCAAAATACACTAACTTAAAATGGATGGTTCAGTTTGAGAAGCAGATGTTTAGCAATCAGCTGTTTCAAACTACAGTACTGTATTAAGAATGGAATAAACTGACAGTACAGTAATAATGAATAACACAAAAAATTATGAAATAATTCTTATACTGCAGTTAAGTTGTTTAATTCTAAAAGGCTTTGTCCAATATTAGAGGCTGTATCCTGTTTCTAATGCCTTGAATGCCTGTATTGGCAGTATGCCAACAAACTGTTGAATAGTTAATTTAGAGAGTATAGATCAACTTGAATTCAAACAATCTTTAAGGTTATCTTATTGTATACTAAAGCTACTGTAAATTACTGTATTGTAACTATTATGATGGAAAAATATTCTTTGACATTTTACCAAGGCCACAGTGTATTTTTTATATCAAGTGACTCTACTCATAGCTACATGACCAGCTAGTCTTGAGCACAAACCTAAACCTTCAGCTTTACTACAGTAGGCTGCCACATGACTGGAAATATCAGTTTAAGATAAGGATTTGGGGTTGTAAAGTCAAGGGTAATTTTCAGTGACAGAAGCTCTTTGTATATTACATAATTACTCTATTTTTTCAACACACAAAATATTAATATTATACAGAAATATTATGATTACTGATTTGTTTAAGGAGCCATTCAACTTCCTCTTACTCTCTGATTTGGTCAACTACAGCCAAAGTAAAAATCATTCTCAAGATTTTACTTATGCCACTGTACACTTAAGTCACTACCGGTACATGATATTTCCTAGAATTTCACACAGTCTTCTTACTGGCTACTTGGGAGGGCATTTATAAGGTAACCAACATGAATCTAAGGCTAGGGTGTAGTTTCCAAGCACTTTCAATAACAATACATTGAAACTTACCCCAAACTTAAAAAAAAACTTCATACGTGACTTTATTGGTTCATTGTCTGGTCATTATGGTATGCTTGTGGTCAGTAATAGTGTGCTTGTAAACTACATCCTTGTCAAATCTAGTCATAATGAATATACACCAATATTAAAAGAAAAGGCATTCCTCTCATAGCTTAACCTCAATATTAACACACAAAGCAGTTTAGTAAAATTTACATCAACACATTTAAAGCCAGCTATAGTCAAGAAATGTTGTCAGATATGTTTGTATAACTCAGGTGATGTACAAATTATACCACTTGGATTAATATGTGATTAAAAACCTGATTTATAAAGACTGTAAACTTGAACATCTCTGCACACTAGGTAACCAGTTCAATAATATTCTTGATAATATCTCTGCACCATATTCTCCCCCATATAAGAATCTTTACCATTTTTTTTTATAATTCATGAAAATCCAACAGGAAAACAAGGGATAAATAAGCAAGTTTGAAACCCACATAAAAGTTATGAGTAGGCCAATGGCTGTACCCACTTGAGAATGAAAACAAACTACTGTATCACTGAACTATGCTAAACTAGACACCTGGAATGAGTAAGTTTTCATGTTACAGTGAGTATTAGTGCGTCGAGACAGTAATCTATACTTCAATCTTCACAAGTGATTCTCAAACTCCTCCAGGCTTATCCACTTAATTCCAATCTTTGACATTAAAATTTAATATATTAATGAAAGTCCTGACAGCAAAAAGTGATAAATAAATTCTCCAGCTTATTGCTACACCAGGCCACCATGTCTCCAGGAAGCATAAACAAAGCCCAACAACGGAGCTCATCACAATAACTATCACTCATACCTGACAAACTACGGAACACAACTAACACTATTGACATTTAATGAAACACGGGTGACCAAGGATCGAGTTACCAAGATTTTTTTTTAACCCTTAATACACATTAATGGGTGAAGAAAAAATCTACATATATTAACATAACTACAGTACTATATAAAATGTCCCTCTGTAGTAGCATCTATAAGACTCACTAAATTTATTCTAACTTTTATCTTTTCCTCCCCCATTGAATTTGCATCCTATATATTATCAACAAATTCTCTAAGTATTCTAGACACATGAGTTATCCTTAACACATACACAAAATACTGTATATATATTCTCGCACAATAAAACACATCAGTCATACCAGCACTGGGACACACCAATGCCACGGGAACGCAGATAAAAAAAATTTAAATAAATAAACTAACTCCCACTTTGTGCTTAAACATTTCTAAAGTATTTAAGAAAAGTAGATTTACATTACTTAAGAGTTCAGGAGTTTAAAACATGATATATAAAGTGAGTTGTCTGATGAGAGTGACTGACCTATCCCATAGCACTAGCCAAAAGGAATTTAACATACTGTACAGACATCATTCATTAATATTACAAGGTTAAACAACATTCAAAATGAGTGAAAACTATAAATTATATTTCTGTATAACAAATAATGTTATTACCAAATTACCATATCTCCAAATACTAATGCCTGTATTACATCTCATAATTACAATAATTTTACAACAGAAGAAACTTTTAAAAAATTATCATAATCATATTACTCGTGAAAGAATTATTGTCATTATTCATACGATGAGTAATAATCCCGATGATACTAAATCTTAACATTCTATAATGAAAATAGTGAAATTTTAATAAGTGCCGTATTGTTCGTACAGAAGACAATTTGATCAACATTGAAAAATAAAGTTATATACTTAATTCTACGACATCCATTCCATCGAAATTATGCAGTGGCAAGTGTATGCAACCTGCAACCAATCAAAAGGCATATTCCCTACATGTCGAAATATAATTCACTCGGCAATAATACACACACACACACGGACTGAAAAACATCACTCGTCTGAAAAAATCTATCATCACTACTGCAAGCTCGATACTCACGACAAGCCGTGGAAACCGCTACTTTTTCTCTATGTCGTTACGCGTCGTTCTATGTTGTTAAGCGAGTCTCTGGTCTACACAGGTGAGAAGGCCACTGGGAATTTCACTTAGTTCAGTTACTAGCTTTGTATATCTTGTCTCCCAACATCTCCTAGGTAAAGCACCACCATTTCACAGCCACTTATTGTACATTATTATAGTTGTCACGTCCACAAGAAAAATTTCCACCATCAACTACAGACCAGCAAATTGTTATATCATATTTGTACTTTAAGATAAGCTAGGAACTATATATTGCTTTTAACAGTCAATCTTGATAAACTTGTACATCTGGAGATCTTGATTTAAACCAGGTAGCAAGTTGTTCACGGTGTACTGCTAATGTTCTCAACTATGAAGCTTGTTGTAAAAGTGTTCCTCAGGTTGATGGGTGGTGTTGACGGCGAGGGTGTGTGAGCCAGGTGGGGTGAGCGAGGTGAGTGTGCTTCAGGAGAGGTGTTGGGAGCCAGATAAAGGCAACATGTGGGGGGATTTAGCGGGTTGGCGCCACGCTCGCTGACAAGTCGCCATGTCTCTCTCTAGTTGCTGCGTAACTCCAACTACACCCGCGCACCTCCCTAAATATCCACTCAGCTGAGCCCTATCTGGTGCCTACGGTATAATCTAGGGAGGTGATCATGGTGAGGGGCTGGGGTAGGGGTGGTGAGGGGCGGGTAGGAGCCACTAGTTTCTCGTTCTCCCGCGACAAAACAAAAACCCCCACTCTCGACCCTCCCAAATGGGCGCCCAGGACCCCGCAACCCCCAGCCCCTCATAACAACTTCCATTTTCTCTTTTAAGCAGACTTCTAAGCATGCACCGAAGAATCAGTCCCGGTCAGTGACTTACCTTAACAACGTCTTTACCTCTCTCGATAATATCAGCGTAAATCAAACGTAACAAAGAGCATTTTAATATATTCCGTCAAAAACAAAGCAGCCAACAATGCTCCCCCTGCTGCGCGCTCGATGCGATTTTGTTGGACGAGGACCGAGGAACGGAACACCGGCGCGTCCTTTAAAGTTTTTTGATCCAACGTAAACCTCAACACTTTCACCATCGTCTAACTTTATCACTAAATTTATGCACCAATCATATATAAAACATTAGTGTAATTTAAGTATTACTTGAGTATATATCCAAAGTTTGATATTTAAGTAACAATTATACTCAGGGCAGCGCCATCATATTAGATCTTCTGAAAACTTAAATAGTCGTAATTTTGCATTTAAATACAAAATTTATAATTTTAATTAAACAAAAATTATCATTATTAACATAATCACTAATTATACTTATTATTATAATGCAAAATTTTTCATGGAAGCTTTTTCATAGTTTAATGTAAATATACAAAGTAGTGCATGGTTATATATAACTCACACATTTGATTCAGCTCTCATATCATACTTAAATTGGAAAAGAAAATAATATATTCAAATATATATTCATTATCTATATGTATGACTAAGATATAATTTGAATAAAGGGGGTATTCTGGTGTGGGTGTTGTGCGGCGGCGAGTGGCGGAGCAGCACACAGGTAGTAATAGTGTGTCATTCCTCGTCATCTCGTGTTCAGTGTTGAGGCCGGTGGTCGTCATGGGTTTCGGAGAGTATCCAGTTGATTACAACCCCAAGGTCCATGGGCCTTTTGATCCAGCCAGGTTCTATGGCAAACGTAAGCTGCAGTTGAGGCTGATATTTGTGTGTATTGAGGGAGAGTAAGTGAGGTGGTGTGAGGGAGAGAGTGAGTGAGATGGAAGGTGAACATCGTCTGCAAGTTCATCTCTCTGACGATCAGCTGACGAGATTTTACTCGGCCGGATGACCTTTATTGATGTTGTCAGTCTTCTTGGTGAACTCTAATAGCTTTTGAATTGTATATATGTGCTGAGATATAAGATTTGTTTATTTATATGTATGATATATTAATTTGTTGATTCAGAGTTTTCTTGAAATGACGATGATGAATGAGGTTGATCTTGTTTATATCATATTTACTCAGGTATAATTAATTTAAACCACGTATTTACTGAAGTATTACTGTGTTGATAACTGTTTATGTTATTGCCAACGTACTTAGATTCTCAACTCCAAATTAACAATTGGAAATCATTAACCCTTTGAGGATACCAGTGAACGATTGTCTTGCAGATTAAAAATCATACTGGAATGGTATTTAATCATTCTGCTATATTTAAATGATCACCCGGGAGGTTTTGCATCATCTTACAATGTTATATAATCACCCCAAAAACGTTAAGCACCATCATAATAAACCATCTTCCCCCACAGGCTAGTTATGTGATTTTCAAGCATGGTTTAGTTTTGTAAATCCAGATTATGTCATATATGTGTGGTGTCTAAACTGTGCCTTGACTTTTTTCATTTTTTTTCGCAGTGTAGCTTAATTTATGTTTTAGTATTGTAATTTTCTCACTATTTTTCCTAAAGAATTGTTAATCATTGAGCACTATAGATTTTCATAGATAGTTCTGGTGATCATATATTACTTTTCATGACGATTTCTTTTATAGTAAATGACCTTCGGGTATGAATTTTATTCGTTAAAACATTTTCATAAACAAACGATTATTAATTAGGCTGGCTCAAGTGATGGCATAAAGTACACTAGTAGGTTGTAATAGGCTTCTAACACAGTTCTTTTTGTTTCAGCTGACACTCCCTTCGGTCAGGTGAAATTGGGAGAGGTGGGCAGTTGGTTAGGCCGTCGTAGCGTCAGTGGCCTGCCTGGTGCTATGTCACGTGCCTTCTGGAGGTGGCAACACAAGGTGGGTTAATATTGTATTTAGAAAGGAGTCAACATAGTGTATCCGTAATGGTGTTTATATTGGAACATTTTATTTCGTTTTTTTTTGTGAATTTATCGTCTTAGTACTGTACTTTTTTTCCAAGGTTTTTCATTCTATTAATGATGAACAAATGCTCGTCATGTTAACTTTTACTGTCTTTTCAATAAACACTCAATAGCTTACCAGATATTGCAAGAAAAAGCTTTTTGCTGTTGATATATTGATATAAAGCCTTTAGTACAGACCAGCAATTATCCATAACTAGTTTATATACATATCCAGATTATACTCATGTATATAATTACTGTTTATTGTTACTTTCTTAAATTCTGGGAGTGCATTCGTCCCCTCGGCTTGTATTGTAACTAGAGTAGACTCCTGTTGTATCTTGGTAATATGCCCTGATGCCAGACTATAGGTAATATGCCCTGATGCCAGACTATAGGTAATATGCCCTGATGCCAGACTGTAGCCAACCAGGTTACTAATGGACTGTAATGCTATGAAAAAAAAAAGAAAGTTATAGTCCAGGACATACATAACACTGCAGCCAACACCATAATTACTTGTTTTCCCCAGTATGTCCTACCAAAGAAAACTGGATTTGCACCCTTTGGACAGCTGATGGTTGGTTGCATGATCTTCTTCTATGCTATCAACTACGGAAAGACCGGTAAGGTTTTACGGTAATTGTTTTTTATTCATATAGATACGTGTCGGGCTGTGTGTCCGTACATGGTTTGTTTCCTGGGCATAAATAAGAAATGACGAGATTGTTGTATTCAAATTGGCCTATAGGTGATGACTTTATAAAGGATATTGTACTTTAATTGTAATATTGTTTTCATGATCTTGTTAAATGATTGTGTGGTAAAGGTGTTTATTGTTATAGGTGATTGTATGATAAAGTTGTATATCATGGTAAATTTGTTTTACAGTTCACCACAGGAACCACAAGTACCACTGGTAAATGTTGAGCTACTGCTTGTGAGCCTCCAGGTCCTGTCAGTAGAGGCACACTGTTACCACCACCGCTGGACACCCTGAAACTGAGGATTGCGAGGTTGACGATTCCAGAGGACCAAGTCAACGTCACCACAACAACCGGTGTTATCTGAATTTAGCTCATTTCAGTCAATTATTTAAACTGGCCTTTCTGTGTGGCACCAACATGGAAATTGACCATCTATGGTTTTGTTAATTTGGTGTGTAGAATGATATGAAAGATTGTATAAAACTGTATGTATCAATAATAGTAACTTTTATGTATAAAATATTAAAAGTTATAAATAATATACACAGTTTATCATCTGTTAACCTACTTTTTTCTGTTACCTTTATTATGTCAGGATGGTGTTTGCTGAACCCCCTTCACCCGACAGCACTGATCATATCTCCTAATAGTGAAGCAACTAGCAGCAGAGTGATATACATCTCCAGTACACCACAGAGCTAGTGAGATAGTTAATTAGTTTGTTTTCTAAAGTATTTCACCAATAATAAGTTGGCCAGTAATTTTGTAGGTGGTATAGACAACATATTCAATAAATTGCGTAGTTTTGAGGGTGGAAGTAGACAATTTCCGAGGTACAGTGGTATTTAGGTATCGTATGATGGTAGAATATATCTTTACAGTATTACTCTTTTGGTAAATAACTCACCTGTTTAGTAATACTTTACCTGTAACCAACACTGGTAGGTTTAGTCATGCACTAATGGTAGCAGTAGTTTTTGATACCTGTATGGTGAGAGTAGCTATACTTAACTGTGCCCTCACTGGCTCTTGCTTCTGTGACCATACCAACTTAACCTTATTGATAATGGGGACAACACATTAAGAAATAAATCCATTGTATATAGAGGTGGGAAAAGGTAGAGGATTATCATATGGTGGATATAAAAATGAAATGGATATAATCGAATAAACTGCATGTGACATGTCCTGAAGATAAAGAACTCCCTGGTAAATTCTCCTGATTAAACAAATGTGGGGTTGGGTTAGGTTTAATCATCAGGTGAAGTAAGCTGGGGTTAATCTTCATGAGATCCCTTCAAAGAAATTAAGGATTTGGTGTGAGAGTATGTAAAGAAATGAATAAGACAAAATGAACTTGTGTACTGAATATGCTGGGAGTAGTTCCAGAGTGAAGTCATGGCCACAGAGGTGTTTGGGTACAAGAAAATTAAAAACAAGAGACTGTAGAGTGTTATGGGATGAGAGGTTGATAGTGGTAATTATTTTAACAAAGACAAGGATTGAAGAGAAAGACTCGAGCTTGGTGGAAATATGCAAGATGATGATAAAATGAAAGGTGGCGAGGAAGGTTATCTCATGGTTTTAAAAGGATCAAGAATCAGTTCTGGGGGAATTCATTAGGGCAAGAATACCTGGAGAAGTTTAGGTGGTATTAAAGAATGAGAGGATTTATTGTGTGGGGAAGAAACCTAAAAAGGGAGATGGGGAGGATTTTAAAAATTTGTGAGGAAGGAAAGACGGCAAAGAATGCTGGCATGAAGGACTCGGGTAAATTACTTAGGTCTACAGTACTGTATTTGGGAATTTTTCGAATTTTGAAAGCATTAGGCCTTTAATATACAGTATTGTACTGTAGATGAAATATTAAATTAATTTAAGGGAAAAATGTGAAGTTTAAAGGATGCTGTTCTCAAATGATCCCCAAATGACACATACAGACAGTCCCTGAGTTATGAACGGGTTAATTCTGTAGGTTAAGTTAACCCTCTCAGCCTCACACAACACCATTGTGGCGTTGAACATGAAAAGTGAAATAAGTCACGCTCGGCCTCGCGACGCTAACGTCCAATGGGCTATATTTTCAAATAACTCAAAAACTATTCAGAGAATCTGACTGAACTTTGGGTGCCATTTTCTTTGTGTGAGCTTTATCACCTTCCCCAAGATGGTCTTGCTCACCGTGTGGTGTCTCTTTGGTCATTAGAGCAAGAAGTGGCTGCACCGCTCTGCCCTTTAATTATTCCATGATTTTTTGTGTTATATTATTTTTCCTTATACCTCAATATTCTTCAGGCTTTGTTCTTTATTTTGGTATATAGTACATATCAGTGAACACCATAATACAAGCAAAATGTGAATGGAAATCGAGACGTTACTAAACATTTTCATTCCTTTTCAACTTATACTCGAAAAATGTGGCTTAAATTTCAAGAATTTTAAATTTTTTATGGTTTCATACAATTTTATGCTAGAAGAGACGCCATTACAATTAATAAAACAATTCCATGTCAGTGAAATGAGGCCTAAAAAAAATATATACGTATTTCGTTTAAGATTTTTCGGCAACAACCTTCGAGGCTGAGCGAAAGTTTTCAAGCACGTGTGTGTCTCAAGCTCTGAGGTTAAGAGGGTTAATGCTAAAACAACCCTGCCCATACAGAACAAGAATAATACCCCATATATAACAAATAATGGAAATACTGTACATAAAGTGATGTTAAACAATATACAGTATAGTAATGTAAAAAATATAATTTTAATTACAAAATTTTTTATGAATATACAGGGGGTCCCCGGGTTACGAACGGGTTCCGTTCCTGAGGACGTTCTTAAGTCAGATTTGTACAGAAATCGGAACACATGATATACTGTACTTACAGAACAGTGATTAACATAGCCTAAGTCCTTATATACATCTAAAATCACTAAATTCAAGACAAAAGAAGAAATTGAATGATAAAATACAGTAAATGGAAGTAAAAAATATGTCATCAGGTAAATAAAATACTGTACTGTAAATTTCAAGTTTAACCTCGTTCATAAGTCGAGGATCTCCTGTACTGGGATCCCGCTTGAAATTACCGGCATCCTCGACTCAGGGACCCCTCTGTATACAGTACTAGTTTTTTATTACTAAAACCATGATTATAAATACTAACCTTAGCCCATAGGTATCAGTGTAGCTCCTGCTGGGCTACTGTCTACTACACTTCGTTTAGTTAACTTTTTCTATTCTTCTTTTCTTGTGTTTTCAAGATGTTGTGTTGGCCTATGGTGGATAAATCAGTTTTATATTTTTCCTGAACCCTTTAAGGATCACATGAGAGGCAATTTGAGGCAGTCATCTCCCACTTATATTCAGGTTTGGGTAATTTTTGTAAATTATGAACAATAAATTTGGGATGTGGCACAAAAATTCAACTGCATGGAAAGGGGTGAATATTCATCACAAAACTAAACTAGCTTGTTTTGTGTTTGTTACTGTGTTCACCAGAGCATTTTACACTGGTAGGTAGTTACTTTGTGTGTCTCGTGTGAGCACCCGGTCAACTCGTCTTATGAGCACAGTAAGCTCTGTTTCAACAAGTATTACTGGTATGTTTAAGACTGTAGTGTGTCACCCTTACTCAAGATGTGTGGTAAGAGGCCAGCCAGTAGAACAGCAGCAGAACTAAGAGAACCCACAAAGCCATTACTGTATCCTGGATGTAAAGGTGGAAGTGTGTTGGTGGTGAGGGAGACAGATGACCAAACAGTACTACAAGTCTGACTCATTCCCAATAACATCAACTGATGCGCACTACCACCACACAATGGGCAACATTATCTCAGGTAAGTTGAATTTATAACTTTTGTGTATTATTATTAACATATAATATGCAAATTACCGGTGTTTAAAGAAAGTGTAAAAAAAAATCCTCAAAATGGTGGTGGTGATAATTAACTGATTTATTGATGCCTTAGGGTCAGGTATATATTTTTCTTGGTGACATATTTCAGAAAAAAAGTAATGGAAATACAGTACTGTAATACTGTACATGTAATGTGGAGGATGACTGTTTGTATAAGTGTGTGTACATGTGTGTGTATTTATATGTTTATGTAAGGGTTTGTATAGGTGTTTGTGTGTTGTAAAGGCATGTATGTGTGCCACTGTCTACCCAACAACTATTGGGGATCTGGCTGTTTATCAATTTGTGGATCGTGCTTTGAATTTTTGGTTAGCCAGTGCAGTTGGTGAGCTGTCTAGTCGTTTTTATTATTCCTTGACATTGGGTCATATAGCTTGTAAACTTTGGGTGTGGTTGTTGTGTTGGCGACAGCTTCTGCACCTTAAACAAATTCATGCATAGGTGGTCCTAGGGCTGGCCATTCTTGAACACGAGGGGCAACCATTACAGGTTAGACCCCGATAGTCCAGCAGCTTCAATGTTTGGGACGGTGTCATAGCTCACTTCTAGTGGCTGCTGTCACTATTTTACCTTTTAATACTTATAATTTACCCCTAAATATGCCTTCTAAGAGACCAGCAAGCAGTGGAAGTGGTTGTAATGCAGCCAAAATGTAAGCATGTAACATTAACTATTTTAGAAAAGATGTCTATACTGAAGAAATTAGACAGTAATTAGTACATTTTATGCATTATTTTGCCTTTTTTAACCTCAGCTTCGATGGTTCGGAATTTTCGCTAATGTGGAACTGGTCTGGTCCCAAGCTTCACGGATTAGCGAGGTCCAACCTGCATTATTATGTGTGTGTGTGTGTGTGCATGCAAGCAAAGGAGTGTATGTGTGAATGTAAGAGTGTGTGTACAGTGTATGCATGCAACATTGTGCGAAAGTGTGTGTAATAGTGTGCATGTATATATTATAAAAGTATATACAGAACAACACTATGTGTAAATATCTATAAGGGATATCCCCGTTAGCTGGAGTAATTGGAGCAGATCTCCTCAGGGGATGAGAGATTTCTGGGTAACGAGATGACTCAACCCGAATTTTTCCAAGTACAGGGGCCCCTTAAATTCACGGAGGTGAGGTTCTCAAAATGGCCTCGAATCGGCAAATAACATTTGCAGACTGGGGGGAGGGGGGTTACATTTTTACTTGTGTACAAAGAAATGTATATTCCCTGTATGTGTTTGCCCAAAATGTGTGTGTGTGTGTAGATAGACACCCACACAAAACACATACAAATAAATAATAATGGGAAAATACTCTCACAAATAATCAGAAACAAATTTATTAAAAATGTGAGTCTACCCTCAAGTCCATACTCTATTAATAAAGTAATAAAGCACAGATTTGAGGATAGACTGTTACATTTGTAATAAATTTGTTTCTGATTATTTGTGAGAGTATTTTCCCATTATTATTTATTTGTATGTGTTTTGTGTGTATGTGTCTACACACACACACATATTTACAATACAGGTAAAGGAAATTACTGTCTCTAGAACAAATAGCTCCCTGTCCCGGCCGCAAAAACGCCGGCAATTTTAAAATTACCCACAGACATTCTTGGGTATATCCAGGGTGTCATCCACTAATATTAGAGGACTGCGAAATAAAAATCAGCGAATTTGGGGGAGCCCCTGTACTGTACTGGAAAATGTATCTCAGAATTTTCCAGAAAGACACATTACCCGGGAAAAAAATTTGAGTTTCTGTAAGTGTCTATGATTATCCCATAAAGCCCGGGCGATGTAAAACCCACCCGACCCCTACACGGGTATATTTTCAGCCAAAATAAACACTTGAAAAAAATTCCATGTCACCTAATAAATGGATTAATCATTACAAAATAAAAAAAACTAGATTTATGTACTGTACTTACATGCAACTTTCATTGTAGCACAGTTAGAGAGTTGTCTGGAGTGTAGAGTGATGAAAGAGGTGTTGTTTGACGCTGCCACACACAGCAGGGGAGTGATGCTGACACACACACTTGTAACACACAATTCTTACTTGTAGGCAATTTTATATCATATACTCTACCTATCTTATAGCTACAGTACTACAAAACACAAAATATTGATATTTCCTCAAAAGAACTATAAAATACTGAACAGAGGTCGAAGGACGTGCATCCATCACAATGGGTGGCGGGTAACTAACTATGAGGCAAGAGTCTTGAGACAAAGATTACACCTGAGTTGAGTTACCAATTAAACAAGATCCAGTACAAATTATTTCGTCTTGCCCGGACATTCAAAATATACCGCGACAATTAAGAACTTTGAAGAATGTCACCTGGGTTTTTAGGGTTGTTTGTATAAGAGAATGTGAGTTTGTGTGTAAAAGTGTTTTAGAACATAATGTTTGCACCAACACACTTGTTGGTGCTAGAGTTAATGTCTTTTTCACTGTGTTAGACTGATGGGTAACATGAATTTTAAAAATAATTTGTGGCCAGAACACTTGACCAAGGCATTAAGTGCTTGTAAAAAAGGAAAGAAGAAATATGAAATAAAATAATTATACAGATTTATTTCATCATATCTTGACATCCCTATTTACAAATGTAAAAACACTTTACAAACTTCAACATGTTAATCACTGAACTTTGTGCACAATTAGGCTATGCAAAATGACAAGTGGTGCCCATTGTATTACTTAGGTCTCATACAAATACATTATTCTTGACAGCTTGGACAAGGAACTCTTGCCAAATGCAGACAAAACTGGCAAAGATTACATATTAAATGTATATGCCATTAGTGCTGGAAAGACCAGCTTAATTGGTTTCATTAGTTTTAACAGTGAACAATTTATAAGGCTGTCCATACATGTTTACTTAAAATACTGTAGTAGTTAATTTGTGAAAGTAAATGATATTTTAACTCCATCCTTTACATCATCTAAAAGATATGTTTTTATGCCTCTTTACAATACTGTATCCAACAGGAGCATTTGGCAAGAATTCTTAGTTTATGTTCTATTGGTTTCAATGCCATAAAATACACAAAAATGGATGGAACCTTTATCTTCTTCCCATTTGAAAATGCTTACACCAATGCTCAATGTCCATAGCCTGCAAGGGGGAGGGGGGGGGGAAGTACGCCACTTCACATCCTTGCTTAAAGGAGGAGACAATTTCATCAGCCGTTTATGATGGGAGTGATATATAACCAGACACCAGGATGACTGGCTTGGCTTCACATTCAAAGTAGCACCTATGAAACTCCTAATTACCAATTAAACTGTGTTCTACAGAATGTCAGAAGCATGAAAATAACTTTGTATTTCTTCATCGCTATTTAGAAAATGCTAAATCAAATTTAATCATCAATTACACTCGTCTCCACAACAATAGTGGGGTAGTGTAACTTACTGTTCCCCGAATATTTTGTCGCCAGCCACTTGTACACCTTAAAAGTGCTGCAGTTCCCTGGCAACAATCAAAATATTTACCGAAGTATTCCTCGTGTTGGCATGGCCACCACATCCTTGAAGGATTTGCCATAAGAGTGTAAACAATGTGAATTGCCTCACAAATCACAGACAGACAGAAAAGTATCATCAGTTAGTAAAGTAAATGACGGAATAGATTAAAAGAGAAAGACGAGATAATTACTACAATCACAAATGAATAGTTAAAATCTGAGACAGCAACAAGTAGTACAGTACTACAGAATGAACAGAATCATGAATGAGTGTAAAGGACAAACCCTTACTTTAAGCAGAGTAATACTTTCCTGGGTGACCGAGGCTAAATGGTCCACATATACGTACACTTAAATCACAAATATCATATCGGAGAATGTGTCAATTAAGTAACAAACATATCTGTCTAGTTATTATGAACCTACGTGTGCAGGACCATCGCAGAAAGTGTTGTATGTAAATGTATATACAATGTTACAAATGTTCTTTTCATGCTATAGACTGACTTCAGATTGAAATATTTTTAAAAAAGTTAGAACTGAAGATAATGCACATCCTATATTAGACAATTAAAACTTAACACTTTTTGGGGTTAGCACATTAACTCATTTAATAGAACCAGTATATAAAGACTAGTATTTATGACCCATTACATTATTGTTCTTCACTGCCAAATTATCAACTGTCAACGACACACGACGGGTCACAAAGACTAGTCCTCGTCAATACCGTGTTACACGTGGGAAAGCCAGGGTTGTGAAGATGTTTGGTCGCATTCCATTACCAATCACATACAAAACTTACAATATGAGAATTACTTTAAAGGTACTACAGCGTGTCACTAGAGGGAGACGGCTGTACCTCTCTCGATACACTGAACTGTTAAAGGAGGCTCAGAGGAGATGCATCTTGTGAGTAAAGACATAATGTCATATTTTTCATTTATATTATTTTAATATATATATATGTATTAAAAAATCTACAAGCCAAGTACCTTTAGAGTATTAATATATTCAAAGGCATCACATTCTATTATTATTGGAAAGGTGGAAGATAATGAATGTTTTAATATCTGAATCTGTTTATAAGGAACAATAATTTATAGTCTTGAAAATCTATCACCATTTTTGGTTACAAACAAGAAAATAAATTCTTTGCTGTGCGCAAAAATATCTGAAAGTTATTGTTCCCAAACTTAAAAAAATAGAGTCCCATGCCAATAATTTTACAGTAGTGGTTTTATTAATGTGTAGTGTGTACTAATATATACATCTTACACTTATGTATATATACATACAAACACACAAGATGCTCTAAAACAACATTAATCCATAGTTAAAGCCACTTTAGTTTTCACTATCTTACATCATCCAACAGGTATCATTGACCTTGGCAGCATATATAAAATGTTATGTACAAGGAATATTTTCACTATCAACACTTACCGTAAAGCAACTTAAAAAACAACAACAATAGAACATGCAATGATTTTTCATGAATAAACTTGTTTTTGGATGTAATGAAGTGGTAGATGAAACCAGACAAATCCAACTATCTGATAAAAAATGTTTACTACACAATACAGTTTAGTTTGTAGTGTAATGAAAACTTGTGGTCAGCAGTTATAACCTAAATAATTATACCCATGTTGAAGACAGTTGTTGTTAAAACTAGACACATCAGTTTTGTTGGTAATAAGTCACCTGTTATGTTATAAAGGGCAGTACAGCAAGAGCAACATGGATGGCAGGAAGAACACTACATGGGTATGACTTGACATAATAATGCCTTGTCTGAAACATTAAACTGTACACTACATAGCATCTGTTGTTACTGAATAATTATTGTTGCTTGATTACCTAAGATATGTGCCATCTGGCACAAGAAACATGCTCGTTTGACTGACATTTCTTGGAGTGAAGCGGCAGGTCAGCAATAACAGCTATGTTGCTTAGTAAACCCTTCTTGTCAGGTAGTGGGATACAGACCTTTAAAATTGCAGTGCTAATACAAGCACTTACAAAAAAGTGCTAAAATACCCTGGCTATCTAAAAGCACTTGCCAAATTTCAACGGCGACATGTTGGCATCTTACAATAAATCATGATCCTTGAATCACTATGGAAATGTGAAGATCAAGTTCTGGATATTCAGTTTTAACAACTAACATTGCTAACTCCAATGTTGACTATGCAGTTGCACCAAAGTATGTGGTTATATGGAAATGTGAGGAGTTTTGAGTTGTAAGGCTTCTTCTTGAACATACCAGTACACCATTCTAATTTAATCTACTGCCATGATTTACTCCTTCAAAACTAACTCAGTTACAAACACTAAAGAAACAGAGATCACTTAACTATATGTTTCAGTAACTATACCTTCAAATGTACTAAATATAAAATAACCTCAAGAAATAATTTTGCTTCTAATTTTGTATCTCAGAGGTTATAAAGTTGCTGAACTAGACTACTAAGCATAATATTTGACCAATGGTAACAAGTCTGAACACAATGACATAACAAAGACCTTTACAGAAAACATTATTCCATCCAGTATCTAAAATTTATTACATTTGTGCACAATTTATGAAAACAGTCCAGGTGAAGTATGATAATTATACTGATAATGATCACAGATATTAATGTTATTTTGGTCACTTATTTCCCTCATACATACTTCCTGTGTTGTGCAGAACAGCCCATATAAGCATTAAAGCAGCGTCCCCATCACACAATAAACAGTAATTATAAGCTGCAGTTCTCACTCTTTTTATCACTCGATTATTTCATGTCACTAAAATGCTATAAATTTAAAACCCTTGAGGTTTTCTTGCAAAGATCTGCCATCACTTAACTGTAAAGAACAATACAAATACCAACTCTGGTTTATATTTTAGATATGTCAACTGCAAGTCTTATCAAAACACTATATTAACTTTTCACTATTATTTCTACACCTTGATAATCCTTAGAGAAAATAAGTGAAATTAAAAATATTGTATAATCCTTTAAGAGACACTGGGTAGTAATATGGTACTGTACAATATCTGCAGCTCATCAGCCAAAGCAACACCTTCACACATTATGGCTCACATCATCCCTTGACAACAAAAGGCAAAAATTGAATGTCATTATCCAAACATTTTCTAGTTCACATATTGAACTGGAATATATTGTTACAATTCCCAAAAGCAATACAACAAGGCACAAATTATGTTCTCTCGGAGATCATAAGTGCATACGGTGTGTCGACTGCTGGGGGAGGTACACTATTTACTGGACTATAATCTCACTACCGTACTGCTCACATGGAAATGAATAAAATATATATTTATATAAAATTATACAAATGTAATGGAGGCAAATAATGTGTGATTCTGTGCTGTAGAACACTAATACAAACAGGCAGCTGTTAGGTTAACGACCTGGACCTCAAATATATGATTACACTAAACATGTCAAATTCCAGTACAATTCAAGGAGGTATTTGTGCTCGTGCAATGAAAGCCATTTGGGCTTTACCTGCAAATATACAACGTTCTGATGAGTAATACAAAATTAAAATAATTTTTTTATAGCTTTAAATCAAGACAAAAGTTAGAGGGTACAACACCTGGGAAGGGACCCTACACTATCTGCCATCATAAGACTTTGTATAAAAAATTTAGCCGTTCATGAGCCAAGAGTAACTGTGACCCAAGTTATCAATGTCCAACTGCCATTTTCCATTCACTGATTTTTTTGTCCCACAAATGGACATTTCTTTCCTTCAACGTCAAGGGAAAAGAATCACTTGATATATGTATAGTCACTGTCAACATGAAATACACAATTCACTTCAAAATCAAATTGTAAGACATCCTATGATGTATCTGAGCAAAGTGGCCATAAGGAGAAGTATACCAATACTTAGGGCCAATTTGACAAGTTGATAAATCACAAGTGGTCAACATGATTCCAAAGCCTTGATACAACTATTCAAAAATCCACTCATTTGGTACCTAGATGCTGGGTCTTAGAGGAGGACGCACTTGCGTTTCCTATTTGGGGGTTTAATGGGGCAGAGCACGGCACGGATGGCCTCGTCAAACACTGTCTTGAGGCCCTTCTGGGTTAGGGCAGAACACTCCAGATATTTTGTGGCACCGACCTCCTTAGCCATTGATAAACCCTGCAAGATAAATATTCAGCATTATAAATACATAAACAGTTAGTGTTGTGTAGTGATCATATCATAACAGTGATGCTTTGACCCAGGGATAAACAAACCTCTACATGTAACAATTTGTACCCAGTCATTTATATTTAAGTTGCTTGAAAATAAAAGAGAAAATACTGTACTTGTTACATTATAACTCTCCATTGCTGTCATCCAGTCATTCTATAAGAAACCCTTAAACCACATTCATATACACCACTGCTTCCTGCCTGACTAATCCCTTACTTCATGTGTATTCTTCATCCTATCCTTCCATCTCCCTGGTTTACCCTCCCCCTCTTATACACCCACATCATCAATATTAAACTCCTTATTCTTGCTTTAACACCAATACCACTTTACTAAACCCTGATCCACTCTCTGTCTCATTCTTTTCACTTCCACATTTATCTCCTTATTTATATCATTCTTATTCTATACATTCTAACTCTCTATCATACTTTTTATAACCCCTTGTGTATTGGGTCTCCTCTGAGCTGAATAAAATCGTCTGGTGTTAGGTAAAATATTACAAGTGGCGTCTTTCTTCATATATTTTCAATGCATCTATTGGTATTATTTTTCACCCTCTGTTACTCTCTGGTTCAATTCATTTATTTCTCATTCCAAGGACATCCACATCTTCAGTCACTCTACCTATACTCATCATTTTGTTCACATTCACCATCAACTTTCTCCTACCCTTCCAAACTCATTCATTGACATACGTAACTTTTCTAGTGAATCACCTTGAGATAATCTCTTGCAAACACCAGATGCCTCACCTCCCATATTAGCATTAGGTTCTGTGGGGCCGCAGCTACCACAACAAATGTCTTGGAGTGGACGCTTGGTTACTATGTAAGAGGGTGATACGTGGTTATTTACGTATTAACAGTAAAACAATTATTGTGTGATATAAGTAAAAAACCCTTTGAAAAAATTGGAAACTAGATGCAAGTACCAAAATAAATTGTAATTTTTTATTTTAAGTGACTTAAGACAGTTGAACACATAGTTAGATTAATAACATTTCAATTACATAATTCCTTCATCAAAAAGTAAATTTGTCACCAGTCGAAAGTCAATTCTAAAATTTGATTTCTCGTCTCGACCTCCACAGTCACCCCTCAAACAGAAAGAAGAAATACCTGAGGGTAGGAAATTGGAGTAAGTTTCTTGTCCTTAAGCTTGTCTAAGGTTTCACGATCATCCCGAAGATCAAGCTTTGTCCCCACCAGAATTATAGGCGTGTTGGGACAATGATGGCGCACTTCTGGATACCACTGGAAGATAAAAACCTGTATGAGAATATGTCATATACACATTCTAATGAGTTTGATGTCTGCCTAAGTCACATACAGTATACACACAAAGGCTGTCAAAGTAAGATGCTAATTCTGTACACTAGCCAAAGCAAACTATTTGTTCACCTTTACATCACCTAATGAACTAGACAGTCCCTGGTGGTGATGTCTGCCCTTACCATAACTTTTTAAGCAACAAAGGAAAATACAAAATACTGAACTTGGCTTAAATATCAAGCATCTAAAACTGTACTGTACTGTACCTGGTTTGTCTAATTTTATTCTCAATCAGTTAAGTCTTTTTCTAGTTATTGTGTGAAAAAAAAGTAAATGTGGGACTTAAAATTCAAATGTGGAGAAACGCAAGGCTGAGGTGAAACAGCTACCAAGATAACTTACATGTTTGGTTTTAGTGAATCTACTGATGGAGGGTAAATATTTATAGTAATGTTGAGGTTTCTTCTTCCTGTTTAAATATATTCTTAATGTAATGTTTCTAAATATTCTTGTAATGTATTTTGTTTTAGAATGTTTTTCAATGTTTTGTGATGGAACCATTTCTTAATACAGTATTGTACTTGATGCAAGACAAAGGTACTCTACACAGAAACAACTATGATGAAATACAGTAGAATAAGTTGATACCTTTGCTCTAACATTCTCAAAACTGGCAGGGTTGACCAGAGAGAAGCAGATGAGAAAGACGTCAGTTTGTGGGTAGGAGAGTGGACGCAAGCGATCGTAGTCCTCCTGACCTGCTGTATCCCAGAGCCCTAGATTGATTGGTTTGCCATCAACCATAACATTGGCAGAGTAGTTGTCAAACCTGCCGGAAGGAACCGCATCAGTACAGTACCCCGTGAGATGCATCGACAGACAAACTTGTGGGGGAAAGCATCATATTAAGAGCAATCTATCGGTAAGGGTTTTGTGTCAAAGGTTGTATATTATGGGAAAACAAATAAATAAATTAATCTATCTCTCTCTCTTTCCTCCCTCCACTCTCTCTCTTCCCCCCCTCTCTCTCTCTCTCACCTAGATAACAAGAACATGGTATAACTCATCCACTGTCTACCTGCCTTGTGAAATTTTCCTCTAAGTATAAACTGATTTGACCCAACTTTTCTCAGACAAAAATTATAGCTGAAAAGAACGAAACAAATAATGAACCGTGTAGGACCAGCAATGCTAAATTTTGTCGATTAACCACAAAGGTAAACCACCTAACATGGGCCAAATACATAGATTATTAACAATATTAACAATTTAAACATTTCGAAAAAATATATACAGTTTACCTTTTAGATTTTTCATGGATATCACATGAATTCTTGTATTACGCCAGCAACATTATCCTTACTTGTTGATGAGTGAGGTGTCCCACAAGTCAGGATAATATTGCCATTGAAATAAAAGTATTCACATAATCTCCACAAAAATCTATACAGTAGTGTGTATAAATATTTTGATACATCCAGTAATGTTAATAATGAGGTAAAAGTGACCTATTTTTTTCATAATAATATAGTAAACAAAAGCTAAATAAAAAAAGATAAATTTCAATACTGCACAACGAAAATAGCTCAATGAAATCAGCTCATATGGAAGGTGAGGATAATGATAAACACTGTGCTTGTTCTGAACTAAAGATGTGCTGCCCTCACTCCGACACACTTCACCAAGATGTGCTGCCCTCGCTCCGACACACTTCACCACACAGCTTCAATTTATAATCTGGTAATACTGTACAGGGATCGATATAAGACTATAAAACGAGACCTTTTTTGTGAATTCATTAAGTTTAGGAACCTCGGTTTATTTCACCTGATGATAAAACACCCTAAAATACCTGAAGGTGGGGTTAAGTTAAGTTAGGTTTAGGTACGATTAAGTTAGACTGTGTACGATTAAGTCAGGTGGGATTAAGTTAGGTGGTTTAGGTTAGGTTACCATTAGAGTTTATTTATCAGGGCTAATGTTCAGGTGACCCCATATACAGGTACACCCTCCCCTCCCTACCCCACACACATTAATTTAGATACTGTATTCGTAAACCTCAAAACAATAACGTTGAGCCGATACTTACACTGTTGGGATGTACTCTCCGGGGAAGGCGTTGGTCGTGTAGCTGATGAGGAGGCATGTCTTACCCACGGCTCTGTAGAGAAATGGTTGTATGAGTTACGGCATTTGTTACACCTTTTAAAAAATTAGACTTTTGTTACACCTTTCACCAAAAACTATAGGGATCTTTTTACACCTTTTAGGGCTCCTTTTACACTGTTTAGGGCTTTTTTACACCTTTCACCAAAACTATAGGGCTCTTTTTACACTGTTTAGGGCTTTTTTACACCTTTCACCAAAAACTATAGGGATCTTTTTACACCTTTCACCAAAAACAATAATAAAAAAAATATATCTACCTAAGAACAATATTTTACCTAAATTTTGCATATAAGGTAAATCTGATTACCAACTGAAGATGAAACTAAAGTAATTATTATAACATATTTTAAACAGTTAAGTAATTAAACTGATATATTAATCTAAGTCTCCATATTACACAATAACTACTGTACCATGTAATACCCCCTCCCCCTTAACTACTCCCCCACACGCAACGGACCAATGGGGGTTCTCCTGGGACCTCATTACCCTGTTACCTGAGAAATGATCAACAGGTGTGCAATTATGGTAAACCTTAAATAAAAATGTAAGGTTTTATTTTTGTGTGTACAAGATGATGTGAATTGGTTATGTTACATCATAAAAGTTATGGTGAAATTATTGTACATGTGGTGTAGTTTCTGAAATGAAATAACATGCTCTCTCTCTCTCTCTCTCTCTGTGTACAAGATTACGTAATTTCGTTTTCTACATGACGGTTATGTTGACATCACTGTACATGTACTATAATCTAGTAATATAATAACCAAAATATACATTACCTGTACACTATTGACTAAACCAACACTCACAACTTTAACAATGCTAAAGAAAAAAACACACACACACACAACACAAACAAGAGAACAGTTAATAAAATATAATTCAAACATGACACACAAACAAATATCCTCTCTCTCTCTCTCTCTCTCTCTCGGATGTCCAGCCACACGCAATGACCCCCCCACCACCACCACTGATCTCTGTCTGTCTCTTTCCCAATACTTCATTATGCCCCATCTAAATCACCCTCTACCTCTCCTCCTTCCCCCCCCCTACCTGTCATCTACCAGCTCCTCACCCCCTCCCCACCTGCCCGTCACTCACCACCCCACTCCCTCCCCCAGGCAAAAGCGCCTTTGGGCTTGTATGACCTAGCTGAATGCAGAGGGCACCCACCACCCTCACCACCCACACAGTCACCCACCACCACTCCACCACCCTCACCACCACCACACAGCCACCCACATCCCCACTACCACACAGCCACCCACCACCATCCAGCCCCACATCCCCACACACCACACACATCCCCACATCCCCACACAGCCACCCACCACCACACACCACCACACCACCCCCACCAGCCACCACCACCTCACCACCAGGGGTCCAGGCAAGAGAAGGGTCTAGGGGGGCTGTAAGAGAAGGGGTCTAGGGGAAGGTAAGAAGGGGTCTAGGGGGAAGGTAAGAGAAGGGGTCTAGGGGAAGGTAAGAGAAGGGTCTAGGGGGGGGTAAGAGAAGGGGTCTAGGGGAAGGTAAGAGAAGGGTCTAGGGGGAAGGTAAGAGAAGGGGTCTAGGGGGAAGGTAAGAGAAGGGGTCTAGGGGGGAAAGGGGTAAGAGGGTAAAGGGGTCTAGGGGGGAAGAGAGAACAGGGGATCCAGGGGAGGGTAAGAGAGGGGGGGTCCAGGGGGAAGAGAGAACAGGGGGTCCAGGGGAGGTAAAAGAGGGGGTCCAGGGGGAGGGGTAAACGAGGGGGGTCCAGGGGAGGGTAAACGAGGGGGGTCCAGGGGGGAAGAGAGAACAGGGGTCCAGGGGAGGGTAAGAGAGAACAGGGGGTCCAGGGGAGGGTAAACAGGGGTCCAGGGGAGGGCGAGGGGGGTCAAGGGGGAGTCAATTATCACCGAACACCTCTAACAGGGCGACTCATCCCCACAACACAACACACAATTTGCTAGATGCTCCTGGCTCTCTCTCTCACCCACAACCCTTACATAGAAACAATTCCCCCCTCTCTTTCTCTCTCTCTCTCTCACACCAAAGAAAGACCCCCACCCAAATCAACCAATCCAAATGACTTTCCTCCGACACAACCCAAATAAATCAACAAAGCCAATCCCCTCCAGTTATCCTACGAGCCAATCAGCATCGCGTTCAAACCATGACGTAGAGATGACGTAGCAGTGACGTGGCGGGGAAGAATGGCGGGCATATTACCATATTTGGGTTGTACTCCCCCACACGCTCTCCCCCCACGCACTCACTCACCTGTAATTTAATGAACAAAGGTTAGGACATGGTTTAAAAATATGTACATGTTTATATAAAATTACATAAGGAATTGCTATTACTACTACTACTACTACTACTATCACCACCACTACTACTATTACTCCTACTACCACTACCACTGTACTGTGTCTAAACTTCAGGTGGGACTAAACTGGGGTGTCTAATCTTCAAGTGATCATAAAACACGTAAAGAACACGGAAATTATTTTATAGGAAGGTAATGAAGTAAAAATGCTATATGTGTTCAGTGGCCGTGACATTTGCAACATTCAGACGAGTCGAGAGAGAGAGACGCAAGGTAAGGTTGAGAGAACGTTCAAGTGCATTCATATCCACGGTCATGCCTTGTAGAATGTTGGGAGAATGTTAACTTATAAAAACTGGATGTAACTGGCTTATAAGAGGTCAGATAGGACACCCATTATTCTTTACATTCTCAGTCAACGCCAAACATTCTCTTCGCATTCGACGCCAAACACCATAGGCCTACTACGTAACCATAGGCCTAAGTACACACATCTAGTACCTGAAGCTAAATGACTCTTGTACAACTAATGGTGTACAAACTATGCTACTGTACACGGTGTTTATAAAGTCCCTTGATGTTCGTGTTTACCAGACCCAGAGTAAACAAAGGCCTTTCCTTCATTTTATACACCATGGCTGCGTTATTCACTATGTCTACACTTCCAACTGTAAACTACAATAAAACATAGTGAATAATGAAGTTGTTTGTAGAGTTAAGGAAATAGATAATCTGTGTTTTGTTTGTGTAAATATAAAGGGACTTTGTAAACAGCCAGTACAGGTTAATTAGACTAGGTGAATGCACTCCGTCTAATGACCACATGCCAAAGATGTTGCACTTGATGGTGATTGCAATATACACAGTATGGGTGATTGCAACTGTATTGGTGGTTGCAACATAGTGATAATTGCAATATACTGTACTGGTTACTTGAGACGCATATATAGATAGTGGTAGTACAGGTGGTGGTGGTAGTAGTGGTGGTAGTACAGGTTACAGGTGATGGTGGTGGTGGTAGTAACAAGATCTATGCATATGTACACAACCTCCTCCTCTTAATTATCATATTTCCTCTCTCTCCATCTCTCATTTCTTATTCCGGGTGTCATAAAGGCCTCCAGATGACCTCATAAAACAACCTCCACAGTAAATTACCTCACGAATACCTCCAGCAAATTTACATTCCACTCTCAAGTGAAATTAATTGACCTATTAACTATGCCCCGTCCATTTCAAGCGTCCATAGCAACCATTAAAATTCTTAAGATGCTGATTGGCTGTTGGTTGCTAAGTGAAGTATTGCCAAATCACCAAATTTACGTCCATTTATTTTTTTAATATTTAGTGATTAATATGAATTCATTTTTCATATTATATAGATTTAACAAGACTATGATCGTTATATTTAACACTGAATATAATGGTAGTTTGGATCATTTAACAACCACGAAGTAATTAAGTTGACAGAATTGTGATATTTGGTAATGACGTCAAAAGTGGGCGGGGCTTAATTTATAGGTTGGTTGGGTAAGTCTTATTTACATATGTGGTTTACCTACACACCTGCACTAACACATACCTACACCACACACACACACACACACTCACACCTGCACTTCCACATACCTACACACACACACCTGCACTTCAACATACCAACAAGCTACAACTACCTAAACCCCCACACACCTACCAACACCTCCACACACCTACACTTCCACACACCTGTTCAATGAAAAACTAGGAAGCCAAATTTCCTCATCAATACAGTCAAGAATATACAATAGCCGGGTTGTAAAACAGTGCTAACCCACAAAACTGACTACAAGTTGTTAATATACTGTAAAATATAACCTATAACATCCACTTAAAGACCTCAGCTGTTAAAGGTCAGGTGGCACCCCCGTATATTAGGTCAAGGTCAGGTGGCACCCCCGTATATTAGGTCAAGGTCAGGTGGCACCCCCGTATATTAGGTCAGGGTCAACTGGCACCCCCATATATTAGGTCAAGTAGCACCCCGTATATTAGGTCAAGATCAGGTGGCACCCCGTATATTAGGTCAGGTCAGGTGTACCCCGTATGATAGGTCGTCAGGTGGCACCCCCCGTATATTAGGTCAGGTCAGGTGGCATATATTAGATTAAGGTCAGGTGGCACCCGTATATTAGGTCGTCAGGTGGCACCCCGTATATTAGGAGTCCAGGTCAGGTGGCACCCCGTATATTAGGTCAGATCAGGTGGCACCCCGTATATTAGGTCAAAGGTCAGGTGGCACCCCGTATATTAGGTCAGGTCAGGTGGCACGTAGGTCAAGGTCAGGTGGCACCCCCCCGTATATTAGGTCAAGGTCAGGTGGCACGATGGGTCCAAGGTCAGGTGGCACCCCGTATGTGGGTCAGGTCAGGTGGCACCCCGTATATTAGGTCAGGTCAGGTGGCACATTAGGTCAAGGTCAGGTGGCACCCCCGTATATTAGGTCAAGGTCAGGTGGCACCTTCGTATATTAGGTCAAGGTCAACTGGCACCATGTCAAGCCAGGTCAAGGTCAACTGGCAACCTCTCAAACAAGGTCAAGGTCACGGCGTTTGGTGTAGTGACTAGCATGTCCTCTCTACGCCACCTACAGGAACGCGGGCGTGGGAGGTGGAAATCATCAGCCACGCCAGGTGACACCCACGCCCACACCTCGCTCACTAACCCGTCCGCCCACACACACACACAAGGAAAGTTACGATTTAATATGAAGAGGAAGAGGAGAGATAAAAGGAGGA